TGCTGCCCGGCGCGGCGATAGCGAATTAATGACGCTAATCTTAAGTGTATAATTGCCTAAGTGCTTTAAATGATCGCTTTGCAAAATGGATTGTTTCCACCCTTTAAAAGTGTCGCTCATCTGGCCGCGGCCAGCGGGCCCGGCAGCTGGTCCCCGGGACAGCCGGGCAGCGGCTCCTCGGCTCGGGGAGCCGACAGATGGGCTGCGGGTCCCCCCGGCCGCTCCCCCGGCCCCTCCGCTTCCCCCGGCCCGCCTGTCTGCGGAGCATCCCCCCCCGGCACCCACCGGCCCTACAGATCGCCCTCCCCGGGGCCGGGTCCCAGCCCGGTGCCCCCGGCCCGGCTCCGTCCCGGGGGCTTTGCCCCGGCACCCCCCGAGCCCCGCGGGGAGGGGGATTGTCGGCTCGGCCAAATGCACAGCCACGCCTGGGGGAAAGAGCCCCCGGCCTTTGTGGACGGTGCTGGTCCTTTGCATGTGAATGGGGGAGTTTGGTAAATCCCCGGGCCTCGGCTGGGCGAGGAGGAGGAGGAGGAAGGGGGGTCGCTCCCAGCTCACGGTTAATGAAGTGGGAAAGGAGTCTTTCAGAGAGGCCTGCAAACAACCCCCTCCCCGGGCAACAACCCCCCGTCCCAAATCCTACATGGATTGACTTAAACCCAGGGGATAAGTGCTTTAAATTAATCTCATTGAATAAGAATGAGGCCAAACAAAACTCTTTAAAATCATATTAAAAATCTATCAAAGGACAACTTGCAGTGGGTGTGCTTTTCATTTTGTGAGCGCGCAGGCAAGGAGCATACAGCAACCTTCCTCCCATTTACACAGCAGGAATGTGAATCAAAGACATTCTCTAATATTTAATTGTCCTTGTAGCCATAGCAGATTCCTCCTCTTACATTAATGAAGTACAAGGCTTCGTTACAAGTTTGTAATTGCAATATTTAAATTTGCCATTTCACATCTGGAAGGAGCTGGAAACTCCCCTGTACCGGCGGGACTGAGCCAACGCTGTAACACAGCGACAGAGTCCGGCTCGTGTTACAAGGATGGAAGGAGAGAGCAGGGCAGAGCCCTGAGGAAACCTCCTCTCTGGGAAGGGGGAATGGCTGTGCCATGTCTGGCTGGGAAAGAAAAAGCAGAGGGGAAGTGAGGGCTGGAGCTGTCGCTTCCAGGGAGATCTCATAGCAGAGTCACGCAAGGCAAGCTTTGAGATAAATCAGTTTAGGGAAGACACCACAGGCTCTCAGAGAGCACTGCACTTGCCACACGAACAGCATCTCGTGTGGGAGGATCTCAGCAGCCTCGAAAGTCACTGAAGGACCAACCTCACCTCCAGGGACTGAGATAAGACCTGTTGTCCTACAGCAGAACCCACCAGCACTGGTCCTGTACCTACAGCAGCCCCTGACCAGGCTGGAAACTACTTGTTCCTAGAGGGCAGTGCCAGGCACAATCCTGGCAAGGCCTCAGGCGTGGGACAGGCTGTGCTGGGTTGAAATTAGATGAAGCAGTAAAAATGGCACAGCTGAGAAGGAGCACCAGTGCCACGAAGGAAACCTTTGGAGCATTGCACCAGTTCTGCTCCACTGACTTCTCCCAGGGTACAAAGTCCAACAGACAGGCTGCTGGTGGTTGGTTTGTCAGGCTCTGGATCCAACACACAGACCAGATAGTGCAGTGGGTTTGCCAGGACCAAACGCAATCCTGGCTCTCAAACTCCTTCTGGGCTTTTACCCAGCTCAAGGTCCACCTTCCTCCCCTCCTGACAGAGCTTTAACCAGGACCACCACCCTTGGAACAGAGAGAGAACAAAAGCTGCTCTGCTGAACATGCCAACACACAAATTCATTGAAATCTGAACTGTTTCTAGCCAAGATATTTCATGGCTTCTTCTGAACACCAAACAAAGCTATGTCAGAATGGAAAGCCCAGAACACAGGTGCTTTTCCTGCCCTCTTCCCAGGTTTGTGGAGAAAGCAAATTGTAAGCAGGAGGTTCTGTTGCTTTCTACCCTGCTTAGTTATGGAGCTATGTCTTGTGTCTGACCTACACCCTGGGAGTGGGTGTTTAACTGTGACCCTTGTCCCAAGGTAACCTCCTTGCTTTTTCCTACTCCAAAGCCTTGAAGTGTGAACTCAAGATGCTCCCGTTGCAGAGGAGAGGAGGATGTGGGTTCCTTCTACAGGTAAAGGACAAAGAGCCAGAAGAGAGCTGAGAAAGTGCACAGGAACATCTCCTGGGAGAGGCAGGACTCTGGGTGTGAGAGCAGGGAATGGACCAACAAGGAAGGCAAACCCAAACTGAGCCCAGGTCTGACTCACAGGCAGCTTTACAGAAAAGCTCCAGAGTGCCATCATTTCCAGACCAAACACAGAAACCTCAGGCTGCAGGGCAGGAAGGCCCCTGCCACCCACCACAATGCAGACAAGAAAGCAAACCTGACCAAAGCCAACACCCATACAGCCCAACAAAGCTGCAATCCCACCAAACACTGCCCACAGCTCATCTCATCTCCCCTCCCAGGGGAGCTCCCACCCAACCAAGCCCCCTGCAACGCCCACCACGTACCTCAGAGCAGGAGGGGACAAATCCAGGAGCAGTTCAAGGTGACATCCACCTGCTCCACGCCACAGGAATCCACCAGCAGCTCCTCTGGCATTTGGGTGCTCAGAGGACCTGGGAGCCTTTGCACCCACAACACCCTGTTCCTGCTGCAGGTGATGGTCTGCAGGTGATGCAGTGATGGAACCCAACAGCAACCCAAGCCCTGCCCCACCACAAGGACCACACCCTGCCCTGCCTCAATTTAGAGGTGATTTGAGTACAAAGTAACTCCAAACCTACCAGGTTCTTCCTGAATCGAGTGGTGCACAGGGGTAAAGCCACCTCAGAGCCAATCTAGAGCTGCCCAAGTGTAAACAAGGAATCAAATTCTGCCCACCCAGCCACAATTCAAACACATTTTGCACATCAGCCTTCAAGTTTATTACAGGCAAACTCAGCTTAACTCCAGGTGCATGTATGTACCTTTTAACATCTTTTCTTTCATATTTAACAATCTCCTCCTCTCCCTTCCCTTAATCACACCAGTAATCCAGCACTATCTGCTAAAAGATGGTGAAGCTGAAAGAAAAAGGCATTCTACCTTTTTTAAAAATCACATTATTCATCATGTTTGTAACATTCCATGCCCAGTTAATGCAGGCAGCAATGAGATTTCCTGATGTCTCTCACCCATGTGCTGTTGGCCTTTATTCCTACCGTTATCAATTTGCCAATAGCCCCTATTAATTCCTACGTGACAGTCAGCCAGGAGAAGGTCACATATTTTCCCCTTATGCACAAGATCATTCCCAAACTTGCACTCCCTGCATCACTCTGAGTCATTTTCATCCTCAGGCGTTTCTTTTCTGTTTAAGTTGACATTTGCCTTAAAATCTGATTGCTCTTCCAAATAGTCTTCATAACAAAATCAGGTGAGATTTGTTGTTATTTTATTTTAATCTAATAAATGTTGGTAACTTCATTCTCTCTGCAAAATCATGGTTAATTTGATACTGGAGCCCTCTTAGCTTCTTTCTGAAGTGTTCAAAAGAGTATCACAGTGAAATCAGTGTGTTTGATAATTCGCTGGGAGGAAAAAAAATTCTGGTTCTAAAAAGTTACATCCACTTCAGAAATTAAATACTTTGGGGCTGATGGCTTCTCTCCTACAATCCTTTGTATGACTCACTACAGCCCAAAGTAGGTGCCCTCAATTCTGCATTCACAAAGCAGGCATCATTTTCATCTGCTTATACTCCTTTTTCAGTAGTTTCTTCCTTCTGACATCTGAAATTGCCACTGTTGGAGCACTTTCTGCTTCTGCATTAGACATGCCTGGCTTGGGGCACAGGTGGGCTGCCCTTCCTCATCCCTCTCAAGGAAGACACATGCAGGTAGCAGGAGTTGTGTTTTGGCAGGGTTTGCAGTGTTTTCTCCTGTGCACTGCTTGGTGTGTGTATTACAGGAGGTGCTGGAAGGAGCAGAGTGAGGAACTCAGGGAGAGGGAGGTGGGTGCTCACCTGGGGGAGTTTGGAAGTGCAGGATTTTGGGGGCACCTGCTCTCCCCAACACCTCATCAGTTCCAAGGGGAGTTTGGGTTCCATTTCACACACTGGGCAATGGTGAACAAGCACCAGTCTCAGCACATTTGGGGCCACCCTGCATCCCTTTTCTCAGTGTCCCAGTTCTCTGAGGAGAACAGGATGGAAGGCAAATGGGAAAAGCAAGAAGAGAAATCCATTAGCTTGGGATGTGCTCCAAATAGGCCCAGGCAAGGCAGAGAACCCCAAAAGGCTGGGTTACTACTGGCAAGAGCCTGCAAATCTTTAATGTTCAGAGAGGTGAAACATTCCATACACCCTCTGCATTCTATAATTAGGTGTGACAATGCGCTGCAGGGCAAGGAGAAGTTTGGAGATTGCTGGATTCCACACCGGCTCCTTCCCAGAGTGACGTTTGTTCCCAAACTCAGGAGTTTGGGAACGCCCGACATGAAGTTTTGACATGAAGTTTCGTGCCCACGAGCCCCGTCCCAAAGGGACCACGTGTCATTTCTCCACAATCCCACCACCGGCCTCATTACAGGTGGCAAATTCCTGCCCAGGGACAGACGTTGCCCCAGTGCACAGAGGACAGGAGAGAACATGCAGCAATGTGGCTTTGTTACCTCAGCCAGGAGCAAAGTGCCCCCTTACAGTGACAGGGAAGGGGCAGCCTCCCCTCTCCTCTTCAACGTGCTCCCCTGCCACGACTGTTAACCAGGCTCAAAATAGCAAGTGAAGGGATTGTGGAGCGTTTCTGCAGGTCTTTAAACAGAAAAGCACCTCCTGTGTGACCACAGTCGTCTCACTCTTATGTTACACAGGCATCACGTTTCTCTGAAAACCATATTTAACCTTTTTTAAAATTATTTTTCTTGCAAAAAAATAAAAAAAACACCTTAGAAACACGGCACATCTTCAGGAGGCCACGTTTAATTGCAGCAGTACAACAGGACACGCCTGGATTCGATTCCACTTGGACCTATGGAATGAAGGGGAGGAGGCCACGGGCCCCAGATCCCTCCCACATTTGCCTGATAAATTGAAACACTCCTCAGTTGGTTTGGCAGGTCACCCTGCCCCCCGGCTGAGGCACTCAAGCAGGTTTTACAGCCAATGGCTGGGAGGTCCTGGCTTATGTTGGAATCTGCTGGTTGCCAGGTTTCCTCCGCTTTTTCTTCCTCCTGACCTTGGTGTCCATCCCACTGGAATATTCAGAGCGCAGGATCTCGGCAAGGCGACGTTTGCCGTGGGTCTTCTTGAGCAGGTCAGACCTGGGAAGAGCAGAGGGAAGAGCAGAGGGAAGAGCAGAGGGAAGAGCAGAGGGATTAGATGATTCCCTTCTCCCCGCTGGGTGGGACCGACTGGAGCGGCGCCGAAGAAAAGTGACATTTGCGCATTAGCGAAGGAACAGCTTCCTCTTCTCCAGGCTTGATTTGAAATTCTGTCTCATGCAAAATTAGATATTGTTGTGACAGGTTTTCACAAAGGTGGCAAAATATCACGCCGTTTTTAAAAGCAAGCCTTTGTTCTGTACAAATGCTCTTGCAGGGGCGGCGGGGAGAAGGAGGGAAGGGTTGTGAGCTGAAGGCTGATGAATTAGGTGACACAGCAGTTTGAAAATTATAAGAATAATAAAAAAACCTAACAGCCTCATGACACTGAACAATGGAAACACTTTATAAACAGAGCTGAAATCCAGAGCTTGAAAACAAGGGAAAGCAAACAAGGGAAAAAAAAAGAAAATGTCAGGAGTCTCAACCCAACAGAGTCTTTCCTTGCAGTGTCCTGCAGCCATCACAGGCACCTCACAGCCACCCCTCCAGAGACTGCCTTTTGCAAGGGTAGCTGCATTCAGCCCATCCCCTGAACTCCAACATGGATCTCTCTGTAGCCCTGAACTGCCAGCTATAAATATAAAGACCCACTCAGCATTTTTCCACCACGAGTTCTGCCACTGTCCTGATCCATAACCTTGGGCAAATCTGGTCCTGGTTGCTGCTTTTGCCCTCACTTATCTAACCTGTGATCTCTTGGGTGCAGGACCTGTTGTTCCTTACCATGTTCCCATGTTCCTGGACACAGTGGGTGTCCACAGGTATTGGACACTCTCCTCTTTATAGACACAGAATCACAGAATGGTTTGGGTTGGAAGGGACTTTAAAGATCATCCAGTTTCAACCTCCTGCCATGGGCAGGGACACCTTCCACTAGACCAGGTCCAACCAGAGCCCAGCCCAACCTGGCCTTGGACACTTCCAGGGTGCACCTCTCTGAGCAGCTGGTCCTCAAAAGGACCTGTAACAGATCTCAGAGAAGTGAACAGAAATCAGTCTCTCCCTCTAAACACCAGAGGGTTGAAGAGCAGCCCCACATCCACACCAGAATGCTCTGGTGACAACACAGGGACCTCAGCAGTCTTAAAGGTTGACACCTTATAGCACTGCCTCATAATTCCTTCAGGTGTCCAAAGCCATGCTGGGGATTGCAGGAGAAGGAAGAACTTTTGGCTGCAGCAACAAATCAACCCATTCAGCAGGCCAAGCACATGAAGAAGGCAAGGGGAGCAAACTCTCAGCTGTCTGAGGGATTTCCTTGCCCCCTTTCCACAGCTTGTTTTCCATCCCTGTGTAGGTTTCATGGCTGGGGTGGGTTTGGAAGGCTGGATCAGAATGATAAGAAGGATGGTGTGATGGTTACCAGAGAAAGTTTTCCCTAGAACAGAAAGCCTGGAATACAGAGACACTGCTACATTCCCTGCAGCCTCCATTCTCACACGAATCAAACAGTCCAGCTCTGCATTCACAGAAGGGCTGGGGACTGGACGTGCCAGAGAAATCAGACCCACGGCCACCACACGGTTTGAACTCACAGAAACCAAGGCAAAAGGACATAAACACCTCAAAAGTGGCTGCAGTGCAGAGGGAGCCTGTGGGTGCACACACAGCACCAGCCCAGCTCTGCCAGGGCAGGTGTATCCTCTGCTCGGCCCCTCCATCACTGGATAAAGTTCCTGGTTGACACTCTGGTTGTGTCTCCAAGCTTTAACTACAGTAATTCCAGGGTTACCAAGCAACAGTTTACTTAACAACAGGGAACTATCTGCTGCAAAAGGACAAGGAATCCACCAGTAGCTGCGGAGGCTGAGCTGCAGCTCAGCAGGGGGGTTGTCCGACACTTTATTATCAATCAGGTGAAATCGCTGCCCAATTAGTAAATCAATACCCCCTGCTGAGGTGATCAGCTGCACACAGAAAAGCAGGGATGCAGGGGAAAGGGAGGCTTCTCCCTCTAACCCGGGGCCACGAAAATCAATGGAGTTGTGCTGTGGAACCTGTGCTGATCACTGAGAGAAGAAAAGCAGCTGTCAAGGCCCCGTTTAACCACGAGATGGAAGAGCTACAGGCAACAGCAACAGCCTGCAGTGACAGCACACCAGGAAGAGTGTGGAGCCAGGGCACCAGGTCAGGAGTCCTGGCTGGATCCTGATTCCTGTTGTAAACCTGTAAATTCCCCTCTCTGCTCAGCTGGTGACAGTCTCTGGGGCTCTGCCAGAGCCTTCCAGATAACACTGGTGAGGAAAGGTGAGACAAAGCCCAGGAGAACAGAGGGAGACCCTACTACTCACCCCCTGAGCATCCCTGGGCAAAGTATTTAATCTCTTTGGCTTCCATGTCTCTTCTCCCACCTCCTAACCCGGGATGGCTGGGTTTTCCCTGCTCCTGAAGGCTGGAGTGATGGTAATGCAGGAGAGCTGTGTGGTGACACTGGATACTGTGGCAAAAAGCTTCACAGAAAGGCTGCAAATGTAAGATGCATTTGCAACAGAGACAGAACCCATGTTCCCATCACTGGATAAACACATGGATTGTCAGCATCTCTGTCTGTGATCTCATGTCTAGGTATCATATTGAGCCCTAATGAGAACACATCATGCTGATAACGGGCAGAGAAATCCCCACCCTTTAAATCCCTCCCTCCAAACACAGCAATGTTTGGGAGGGGGGAATCGCACTGAATTGGGTGGTGCAGCTACTGGGAAGTCACAGGGCAAAAAAGATTCTCTGATGACTGACCCATCCCAAAGTGCTACAGTGCCATGATTTCAGCAGTGCTTAAAGGAGAAGGGAGTGTTCACGTAGATGAGAGAATATTGAGTTTTATTAACTGGGGGTAAATGAGACAGAAACAGTCATAACTCGGTTTAGAGCTGCCTGAGCACATCTGTAATTAAGCTGCAACCTCACAAAAGGTGGTAGCAAGACCCTCAGCAGAGAGACAACAGAGAAATTGTCCCCAGATGACTTTGTTAGATCCTGAAAGTCTGGAAAAGACCAGGTCAGAGACAGAGTTTTAATGGTAAAAAAAAGCTCTGTCCTCCTGTCCTCCTCCAGAAAATTGGAGGAATGAATTTATTTACTCTTTAAAGATGAGAAACTCGTGAATCTTGCTAAATACAGAATTATCTCAGAAGAGATTTGCAGTAAATCTTTCTTCACATCATAAAAAAAAAAAAAACCAAACCAAAACCCACAAGGGGTGAAAACAGCACAGGTGATGAGTATGAAATCCTCTCTGTTGTCTCCAACTGTTTCCTGCTCTGCTACACGATACCAACTGACCACAGAAGTCCCACCCAACTTACAGGCATCACCTTAACACTCAGTTTGTGACTTCCACACACCTTGGGTGATTGATGGCTTTGTGAGTTCCAAATGTACCATCCACTGAATTCCACAGCCACCAACAACAAGACAGTGGAGTAACAGAGACTGTACTGTGGCAAAGAAAAAAACCAAACACACTGAACTAAGCCCTGAGGATGTTTTCCACAAAGCTGAGAGGCTGTGGACAGCTCCAAGGCACAGAGGAAAGACGAAGAACAGCACACACAAACTGTTCTGTTTCTATTTAACATCCCCCTTATCTCCCAAGCATTCCTGAGCAGATCATAAGGATGATCAGGCTTCACCTGATTTAGTTGGAATGCATTTGTTACAATATGCAAACCACAATCCTGGATATGGAGACTCAAACCTTTTAGTGGGCAGGGACCAAGTAACAACAAGAAAAGGGAGAAGTATGACACCATTTTTCAAGTTCTTTTCAAAATCCCAATACGTGTGTCTCACTGGCACATCTGCCTCATTAGAGAACTGAATGACAAGCTGATCTCCAAGCCAAAAACTCCTTCATGCCACAGTAGTGGCACATATACATGAAGGGTTCCTTGGGTTTCATCTGCTGGCTCAGAAGACGCCTCTGCTCGTCTTTTTACCTCGGTGGTGAGTGAGCTTGTTAGAGGTGTCTCCCTCAACTTGGTTGGCACTGCTGCCTGTTCCTTTGTCTTGAGCTGTGTGAAATGCTGCTGCAATGCAGTGCAGCAAGTGTGGTGACCTTTAACCAACTCCCAGCATCTGCAGCAACCAAAGGCTCCCCAGTTGCTCCAGCTGAGGGACAAGGAGTAGGAAGTTGTGACGCACGGCCCCAGAGCTCATGGTGTGTCTTTGGAGGAGACAGGAGTGGGCTGTTTCATTTATCAGAAAACATTTCAACCTGGATTGCACTATCAATCTGCCTGACAGCATCTCCAACAGCTCTTTGACACCGTGCCAGCAGCAGAGCTGGGTTACCTCTGGGCCAAGGCTGCTGCAACACCTGCTTTTTCTACTTATAGTGTTGGATGAACCATCTGCAGCCAATGCAACCCTGTTTGGGTTGGTTTTTCTGCTGTTGTTTTTGCAGAGTGGGGGCAAGAAATCCATCAGCAATCCTACACTGCTCTCGACAGGTCAACAGATGGCCCAGGTCCTCTGTTCCCAGCTGATGCAGATGCTTGAGAAGATCGAGGAAAATTATTACCCAGCCAGAATGAGCACCAAGCCTGTTCCACAACACCCAGAGCAGGGTGGCCTTCATGCCAGGGTGTGCTGAACAGCAAAGCCCACCTCACCCTACTGAAGTCAACTGTATTTCAGCTACAAAGGGACAAACCCCCAGTTTCACTTTCACTACCATCCCTTGGCTGTCACCCCATGGAAAAAGAAAAGCAGCACTGGAAGGTTGGGAAACCTCCCAGGATTCTTGTTTCTGTCAGGCTCTTTCCCAGCCTAAAGGACAGAATATATTTCAATTGCAGAGAGGTAATTTTTGGTGCATACCACACAGCACAGAGGTTTTCCAGCACTATTTGCTTGCTCAGAGATGGAACAAAGGCTCTGTGCTGTGGCCACGGTGGAACAGGACAGTAATAAAGGGCACTGCAGTGTGCAGATAACAATCAGATGGATTTTACAACTATGAAACTTTAATTCCATAACAGGACTTTTTTATAACATCATGATGTGGTAAACAGGACTCATCTGTGTCCCTGAACTGCCCTAATGAAGAGTGATGGTGATGTTTCCTTTCGCAGCAGCCACGTCTCTTACTCTAATTTTTGGATCCATCTGCACTCCAGCCCATGGATACACACTCTTACCTGAGCTCCAGTCTGGCTTTCTAGAGCAGAATGCCCAAACCAAGAGAAATTCCCAGTGGGCAAAATTCCAAACTTGCATTTTGACTAATTAAGTGATATTAAGAAAGCTCTAAATGTGCAGGTAAAAACTGGCAGGCAAACTGCTTCTAATGATTAGACAATTGTTGTTCAGGGAGGCCCAGCTGCAGCCTTGAGTCACAAGCCCTGTATTAGTCTTTCCATAATTGTCAGTGCCAAGATGTTCAAAAGTGGAATCAAGGATATGAGATGGGAGAGAAGATAAAAGGCTACGAGCTTTCACCCTTTGCTGCCTTGGCCATGCAAAGGAGGACACACAGGGTTACAAGGTGTATTTCCCAGGAGTTGTCTAATTCTATCTGACCACTAAATGCTGAAGAATGAATTAAAACAATGATCTTGCAGCCAAAACCTTCAGGGCATGCTGACCTCCATATTCAGAGCAATGGCACTGTAATAACAATGTACATAAATGCCCTTAAACTGGATACCTTGGAGAAGCACCCTGGACACCTTTTCTTGATCCCATTTTAGTTGTGTTGGACTTAAGCTCTGAAGCATGAGGGGATTTTCACCTTAGTTTTTATATCACTTTCTGCATGTGCTGTAGCAGCTAATATGTTAAACTCAATCTTTTTGAGCATTTCTGGCATCAGAGATTCCTCTAGCAAGGAGTTTCACAGATTCTACTGAACTTAAAGATTCGTCTCTTTCTTTGTAATGGCTTGAACTCACAAAGAAGGCAAATTAAGTTGCAACTCCTCATTGCAGTGGAACCCTCTGGGGGCACACACTGGGCTTCCTGAGTTCAAAAGGAGAAAACAGACCATCAGTCGCCACAGAAGCCCATAAAAGCCCACTGATCCAAAATGCAAAAGACTTGAGTAGCACAGGGATGCATGGTGGAATGGCAGTAGGTCTTTGGCATCTGCATTGTGAGGGAGTCAAAAGACATGTCTATCTGGCATGTCAGGACTTCCTCGGCACGCTGCTCCTCCGCAGCGAGGAGGGACAGCTAATCCCTCAATGGAAGTGGGATCAGCTTCCTTGCATCCACCCTGCAGTAAAAGCATGAGCCCAGACACTTACTAAGCTGATGTACTGTAACTCAATATACAGTATCTGGTTCGTGTGCTCCTCTCTCACCTAAACACAGCATTTCGACTTTCACAAACGTCGCGAGCGGTTATTTTTTTTTCCTTCTTCAGATCGGGTTTTGCAAGACCCACCGCGGCAAAGGGGACAGCTGGTTTGCACAAAGAGCTTTAAAAAATACATGGAAGTTTACATGGGCATTCAGGAGAGGGCTGCTCCCACATTTCAGCACTGAAACATCACACACCTGGCTGCTCCCTCTCGCTGTCTCACCTTCCCCAAGCAGGCTCTCCAAGGAGGCGTGAAGCACAAAAGGAGACTTCAAAAGAAATGAAAAGTTTTCTTTGTCCTCTTAAGGAAACACTTAACGACTGCCTTTACCCCACTTTCACCCTGGACTGCCTGTTCTTTATTCTCTAGGCAGGTGCTGAGAGATGAGGCTTTAGTGAGCAGCCTGATCAAAAACAAGTATCGGGTGTTGGGAGACAATGTGTAATATGACAACCGGCACTCACAGTATCACGTGAGAAATATAATTAAAAAGATTGCTCTGAGACTGTGCTGTTATAATTTCAAGCCTTGCATTTTACAACTAAAACCCATTTGTCTTCTAAATGGCAGGCTGAATTTTGCTTTCTGCTCTGTCAGTGTGAAATCAAAAGCAATTCTCTAAGTTAACAGCACTATCTTGGATTTGTGCCAGTGGAGACTGAATATCAATCTATATTCACTTTCTCTAAACTATCCTATAAATACTAATTTGTCCTCTCTCTTTATTTAATTTTTTAAGCACACACGGAGAAAGCTGATTAGAAACAAGTTTCACAGGCAGGAACAATTGTTGCACATCACAACTTTGGCTGCTTCTGCAGGGTCTTAACTTTCCAGATGCTCCTGGATTTGAAATCTGGAGCTTGAGCCGTGACAAACCTGAGCAAAGTCTGCCCACTTTCCCTGAGCTGCAATTATATGATCCACGTGCAAATGAGCTTTCAAATCACTCTCAGACCATTTGTTCCAACACCTCCACATCCCCCAACCCCACACATCCTGTGCATAAACTACCTACTGTATCTTGAGCTTGTCTGTGCTATAATGGGATGAAGACTTGGGGAGGAGGAACCCGAGTCTAAAAGAGGTTTGTAACAAGGGAAAAAGTAGCTCTAACAGAGTAGCAACATCACAGGAACAGAGAGCGGCATTGTTACAGCCCAAGTAATCCTGTGACACGCTACTGTCAGTCATAGCTTGACACCCTGCTGGGCCAGCAAGACATCAAAGCCCACCCCATACCATCTTACATGCTCTTTATCAGCTAATCAGGCTATTCTTCCCGAAATAAAGCTCCGTTAAATCCCCTGCTCACAGGGGCATTCCCATCCTGTTGCCCATCTGCTGAGGAGGGTCAGCTGGAGCAGGAGGCAGAGCAGTGGCCTGTCCCTGGTGGCTTCTGAAAGCAGGACAATGCAGGCTCCAACTTTTTATTTTAAAATCCCTTCCCCTTGCATTTTTTTTTCCACAAGATACGTACATGTGCAGGAGATGTGACCAGCCCAGGAACAATTATGTGGATTAGTGCTTTAATTGCACAGCTAAGGTTTGCTAACAGAGTTTGTAGCAACAATTACATGGAAAGAGTCACAATTGATGCTGATAAAGAAAAAATATTATCCCCCTTTGAATTAGTGCAGTGATTTTACTGGCAAGCCAGAGGTTCCCACCCTGCCATTGAGGGAAGAGAGCATGTCCTTAACATTGTAATATCAGGATTATCTGTCCTGTGGAACCAACCCAGAGTAGCCAGGATCAGATGTACTGAGCATCTTCAGCTCCCTTTCAAGCACAGAAAAGGATTTAGGGCTCTGCTCCTCCATCAGGGAGTCTCCAATTCCTTACAGAGAATAGGATTACCCAGGAACATCCCTGGTGCACACACCAGAGGGGACGGAGCTCTAACTCCCAAGTTTGCTGCAGACTCTTCCTGGGAGAAGATCTCACATGATTTTGCAGAAATGCTTTTGCCAGAACTACTTAAATCTACAGGGAGCAAAGCACAGGTTTGTAGAAGGATCATTTCTACCAGCAGATCTGCCTTTTGATTTACACTCGAGTCCTGGAGCAGGCACCAGGAATCCACCTTGAGGAGCAAAGCACACCACAGTGTGTCATGTGGTGTTCCCTGGCTCAGGAACCAGCTCAGCTTGGCTCACCTTTTTGGTCTTGGCTTGGTTTTCTTCTTTGAGCCTGCAGCTGGAAGAGCAGTCAGGTTCTGGGGGGCATCTCTCAGGCCAAAGCTCTTGGCCACGTGACCCAGGTGGAGAGACTTGATGTGGAAGATGTGCTTGAGGTTCCTGGGGTAGGTGGTATAGGCACAAAGGAAAGACTGCAGTGCTGAGGGGAAGAAAAAAAAGGGTGAATTCTGTTTGCTGCTGCATTTTTATATATATACACTTAAAGATTCAGCTGTTCCAGCTGAAGGGACATCGGTCTTGTCCTTTGGGACACCTTCTGGTCAGCAGCTGGTAGGAAAGGCTGGCATGTTAAAAATCTGTGAAGGTTGCATAGTAATAGTACAATCCCAAAAGGAGAATGTGTGGGTGCTGGAGAGGTGTCAGGAACTGAAACAAAGGCACATTAAATTGCATTGGGTTTGCCTCCTGCAAGGAGGCCCCTTCAGCCCAAGAAGGTGATGTTTGTAGCTCGTCTCATAAGAGTCATTGACAATGAATGGCTACAGAGGAGGGGAGAGAGGGAACAGAGATACAGGGATGAAGAGAGGGAAAGAGAAGCATGGAAATGGCACAGGAAGGCTCCTCTGATATTAGAGTCCCAGTAGTCCATGCATTTTTCACCAGTTACCAGCTAGTCCCTTATAAATATCTGAGAGCCGGATGGATTTCCTGACTCATCAGCACACTGAGAACAGAGCTCACCTTCTCAAAAGGGAAAAATAATAGAACTGTGCGCAAATTTCCCTTCACATCTTTATACTCCTGTAATGCCCTTCCCCTCAGGGCTCATTGCTCTAAAGACAATCATCCACTAATATGAGCACTACCTCTGCTCCTCCCCGGAACGCTCACTCCACCCAGGCTGTCCCCTCTGCTCTGGGAATAGAGGGACTTCCAGCAAGGAAACTCTACAGCTCAGAAAATGCCTCCCTTCAATCCCCTGCTGCTCCCCTGCTTGCTAAACCTCCTGTGTCCCCCCCAAGCCCTCACTCCAACCAGCACCTGCCTCTTTCTCTCCCTCTCACTCCTGGCAGCAGCAAGCTCTAAACTCTCACCTCTCCTGCCCTTGCCCGTTGAGCCACCAGACCAGCAAGTTTGCCCACAGCTTATGTCTAATCTCTTGGCAGCAGCCGGAGATTGGAGTTTATGAACAGTAATAAAAATGTCATTTTAGCAGATCAGCTCCTGGAAGGACCCAGGGAATCCATCAAAGCTCTGTTTACTGAGCAAAGCGAACTCCTTTTCCCAATCGATGGGAAGAAAAGATTGAGTTTTTTGTACCTTCTTCCCAATTTCACAAAACTCCTCTTTCAGAGGCACCCGAGCACCAAGAGACCTGTGTTTTCCCAAAAAAGAGAATGCTAAATTCCAAACACTCTGTCTCGGTGTCTCTTCTGAAGGCCATCCTGCTGAGGGCTTATAAAGTAGCTCAAGTGCCTTCAAAAACCCCTATTCTGCTGCTTTTTTTCATAAAGTTATTGGTCAAATTCACCTGTGAGAAGGTGTAACTCTTCAAAAGGAACAATAGGAACTTGCTCCCGCTCTGAATTCAGTCCCATCGGAGCCAGTACAGCTCTGTCTCACAGCATCTGGAATGGTGGATACTACAGATCCTGTTATTATGAAGGCTGAGCTCAGCTCCCACAGCTGTGCAGAGAGGAAAGGCTGCTGGTACCAACTCCCCAGATCAGTTAAATAATCAAAGTGTCAAAGGCCCCCCTCTTCCCAAAAAGTCCTGACAGGCATCTGCCAGACTCAGCTCTGAGTCAGGGAATGCTGCAGGACACTAACCCAGAGCTGAACCAACAGGTCAAAACCCCAGCCCAGAAAACTGCTTCACTCCCCAGGAGCTCAGAGCTGCTGATGTTCATTACAGCACCCACGAGACTAAAATGAAGACCTTTGCAGATGTGAAAATCTTTACTATCAGGTCTTTAGACCTCTCAGTGTTGTCAGAGTCATGTTTTCTGGCTTTTATGTGCAATTAGAGTGGCCAGATACTAAAAGCTTTTTTTTTTTTTTTAAAGTTCAAATTCTTTTATGATTTTGTGATCAAAGAGACAGAGCTTTATAAAAACAACTCACAAAGACTGGTAACAGTGCTGGTCAGGCCATAATTCATGTAAAGGATTCCTCATCTTGAAAGTCATAGGAGCAAACTGCCTGAGCTGTTACAGTTTTTGCCACACCAACATGAGTCTAAGGTAACATATACTGGCTTGGGGTGGGATTCAGACTTGGGCTCATATAAGAGAATGGATTTAGATTAGTCCTTTCCACCTGTGCATCCCCATCTTTCTACAGGAAATGGAAGTGTGGAAAGTCAGAGGAAAAAAGAAAAAAAAAAGGTGCTATATATGATGGGGGTTTAGATGGGTTGGTTTGTTGTTCTTTTAACCAGGGGACAAGAGGGTAATGAGATATGAAAGTGAGACAGGTGACATAACCTGTTCCCTGTGTTCCCAGGTGAGAGCTCCCAGCACTGGCCCCAGGGCACAGCCTCAGCCACAGGATAAACCAGGAGGCACTTTGCTGGAGTGGGAACAGGAGGGAAGAATGCCCCAAACCCGTCATGGATTCAGGCACTGTGCCCCAGCAGTGGAATCCTGCAACTCTGCTGTCCCTCTCCACACACGGGTGCTGAGGACAGAAAGGAGGAGGCAAAATGCTCAACTATTGGCTGTAAAATTGGGAAACGTGGAGGAGGATGGCAGGGTTTGCTTCCTTACCCTTTCTGCACTCTCAGGAGCACAAAGGATCACAGTCTCCTGAGCTCTGTCTGTCCCCACAGCTCCAAAAGGAAGCGCCTGTCACCACACAACCCTTCGGACGAGAATCCCCCACTTCCCAAAAGGGGCTCCACACTTGATCAATTCATCCTTCAAGTAGCCAGGGCCCAGCCAGAGCCCTCCTCCCACCCACCTCACTGCTGCTGATCAGTCAATCAAGTCTGAAGGGCAGCACCTTCACTGAACCATTCCATTTGAGTGGGAAAACCACGGGACCCCGAGCCAGAAGGGGAGAGCGGGCAGGGAGCCACTCGCCTTTTGAAAGCAGGGCTGCAGAGCAAACACTGCTTATTAACATTGACTGGGTCAGAAAATGGGGAAAAGCAGGAAAAGAGAGAGAAACAAATGCATCTCTGGCACAGTTTCCAATTGATTGTCTGCCATGAAAGCAAAAGCCAGCTGCCATGTTAATTATTCATGATGCCTGGCTCAGAGGGGAGGAAGAGGGGGCTTATGGAAGCCACTCAGCAGTGGAAAATTTGCATATGTAGATAGCAGAGTTGGAAAAAGAGGTGGAGTGCTCCTCTACAAGATAAATGGGATGCACACCATTTCAGCATTTCCTGATGTGTTCTCTGCACTTCTTGTCTGTGGCTCAAGAAGTTATTAATGCTGAGCTCAGCAACAAGTGTGAGTGGGTGGGTGTGTGCACACACAGTGACACTCTCTGTGTAGAGAGAAACCACTGAGGTTTTCTAGGTGGGACCACAGTGGTTGTCCCTGTCACAGACATCTCAGGTTAGAAGTTTGCATGGGGTATATGAAATCCCAGGAGAGCAGCAAGAAGCTCATCCAGGCAGAATGAAGGACTGTGATCATATTAGCCACATGCTTTGAGACTGTGGATTTAAAAGCTATAAAAGTAATTGCACCAGGCAAGTAGAACAACACACCTGAAAATGGGTGCAAGCTGCTTGTGTAGCAAGTCTCCAACACTTTCACTGTAGGAAAAAGGTGTTTCAAAATCCCAAGGGACTAAAATCAGCACTGCAGCAGCTGGAGGTGGGGTGAGAAATCAGCCCAGTGACTTGCAGTGGCAGGGAGAGAGCAAAGAAAGAAACAGTAGAATTTCAAATACTTTGCCCATCAGCACAGCCTCACATCATTAAAAGCATTGCAGATTAATTTGGGGTAAGCAGGCAGTCCCAGTAGCTGCTTTAATTATTCCATGTCATCACCTAATAAGTTAGTACAACACTCAGGAAAAAACAGCACCTTTGACCTCTTGAACAATCACTTCTCAGGACTCCAGATAATTTTTTTATCTTGGAAAGTCTCCCCTTCTCCAGTTTCTCCAGACATTGTACAGCTCAAAGGCCAATTTCCCCATTTGGTTTTGGACCCCTTAGAGAGTGATTTAAGTAGTTTAGCACACGTGGTACACCTGCACCAGACCTGTATGCATGTGCATACAGAATGGTAAACAGAAATGATGCAGACCATTAAAACCCATCTCAACAGGACCCCTCTCAACTGGAAATGCTGCAGAACTGACATGACAGGACTTCTACACAAGCTGAGAGAGGAGAATTTGACTCAGATCAAAGCGACAAATGAGGTAAAAAAGAAAACAATCAGGAAGGGAGACATGTGGGAAGAGGAGATTCAAAAAAGGGGAAAGGCTCTGGTCCTAAATATTGTGAGCAAGAGTGGTTTAGTCTCGCACATAAAGAGTTTGTGTTTTGTGGACTCGTCTCAATAACTCAAATTCCAAGTAATTGCCAAGGAGCTTTGGGGTTTCCATATTCCCCTCACAGCAGCTCTCAAGTTCTCAGGTGCACCCACTCCAAACACAACAGCACATGGAAAAGGGGTGCCCACCCTGCACCACCTTTTTGGCTCCTCTCTGGCGACTGTTCAGTGTCTATTTTCCTACCACATCCCTGGCAAGTTTTTCATCTTTCTCTCATATATACTTTCCTCTGAATTTTCCAAACTGAGAGGCAGAAGGGAAGAGTCTTACACTGCTCAGTGACAACTGCTGTGCATCCTGCTTGGCAAAGATGGGAGATCAAGTCCCAGATTTGCATGTAACTACAATTATTAAATCCACCCCAATTTTTTGTCTTCCTGCCTTCTTAAGTTGTTGCCCTCTCTTATTTTCCTCCCATCCCACACAACAACCTCCTCTCTTATATCCCTGCCTGTTAAGAGTTGCTCCCAAGGCATCCTGCCTTACAGGCTTCAAATTCATCCCTGGTGTGAACTGAAGGCATCCAACGGGAATTGCACCAGGATGTGGTGGAGCAAGTCACCCATTCCCTTCCCAGCACAACACACACAATCCATTCACTCCTGTGACTGGGTCAGGGCCCTTGGAAGTGAATCCCATCAAAAGCCAAGATTAAATCCCATTTGCACGTAATGTGGGAACACAAGAAATTAACATTTAATATCATCCCAAAGCCTTCTGGGCCCGTCTCAACCCCCTACAGAGCCCAGCGGCCCCAAAATGTTTCTTCCAGGCCTTTTCCCTGAAGCTGTTCCCCAGAAGAAAAGGCTGGCAGCTCATCTGAGCCCTCCTGGAATAGCTGGAAGGAAGCACACACTGACCTTTCTTTGCCCACCGGACCGTCCCCTCGCTGGAGTGAACGTGATTTTCAAATTTGGTCTGCAGGACCGTGGCCCTCTCCCGGACTTCCTGAGGGTTGGTGCCACAGGATTTCTACCAGGGAGGCGGGAGGATTAGAGGAAAGAGAGAATTTGAGTCAGGAATAATGAAGCAGTTTACAATAGATTTAATAACAGTAAAATCACACAGTAACTACCCAGGGGCCAACAAAGGTAATCCTCTCAATATTACTAGAGGAAAAAAAAAAAAAATCCAGATAAAGATGTTAAAGTCAGAGCAGCCAGTGAGGGCTGTGTGGTGGGGAGAGCAAATCAGTTTTAATTTTGTGTTTTCTAACATCTATCACGTATCTTTTTTTATCTTTCTCCCTTGCTTTTTTCTTTTTTCCCCCCCTTTCCTCTTTTTATTTTTCTTCCAGGTTCAACAGGCCAGATCCCACTCCTTGTTTCCATTGGAGTTATTTGGAGTAACTTCTCCCAGACTCTACACTAACAGTTTTAGGCTGATATTGCAAATTCCCCTGTGCACTTCCCCAAAACACCTGGACTTGTTGCTGGGACTTGTGGGGCAGGAGATCCATGAGATCTACATTTACCCCCAAGCTCCAGAGAAGAGACCAAATTCAGTACCTGTGAACAAAGGCGACTAAATGAACTTCTCATTAATTCCTTCATTGATTTCTACATGGAATTTTCTCATTGTCAACACATCACACTTGACTGGAACTGCCATCATTTGGCTCCTCTAGAAGAAGACACCAAAGGCATGACAGAATAAACTTCCTCAGACCAAAAAGGGCAATTCTGCACGTGCCCAAGCTTTCCTGGGATCAGAGTGAGGGATGCAGTTCAGGAAATGGAAAACAAACATTCCTGGGAGCAAGCTGTTACTGGGAGGAGAAGAGAGGCTGCCTCTCTCCCTGAGGTACCCAGGCAGAGAAAGGAAGTGTGGACCAGAAAACAAGTGAATTTTTGATGGAAAGCTGACAGCAAAGTGCAAAGCCAGGCATCCATGGATGTGCACCTCTCCCAGGAAGGGGCCACAGTTCTCAAATACTCCTCAGACAGGAACCAGCATCCAAAGTCTAACAGTGCCAAATCCAAGGCAGAAACTTGATACCAGTCAACCCCCTCATCTGCCCAGGGCTGACTGACAACAAACATCCAGCTCCCAGGATTCTGGAGGAGGCCTGTGCCAAGGCAACAATCCTGTTGTCCCTCTCTGGCAGATCTGCATGTTAATGCTGCAAACCCCTCCTTCCCTCACAGCCCTGCACTGCTGCCAGTCCAGGGGAGCCACAACACTGACACCACAAACCCTGGTGATCGTGGGCAACGCTGCTGGGACCCTACACAAAATGTTCTGCTGACCAAATCTGCTACTCTATACCCAACAGCAAATGTGCCCACAGACAGACCTCAAATGTGGTCTAAATCCCCTCCACAGTCCCCTCTCTGGACCCCAAAGCTTCCAGGTTATTCTCTAACAAAGCAAAGACGCTTGGGGCCTGGAGCTCCTGCTCACTCACTACCTGGAACTGTCCACCTGCATCTCCAAAGAAAACTGTGGGTATTTTAAGGCTCCCAGATTTCTGGTCTCTGCTATCTGTCTCCTGATCCACTCAAGAAAGACTCACAACACAGCTCACAGAATCATTTAGGTTGGAAAAGACCTCCAAGATCATTGAGTCCAATCTGTGAATGACCATCACTTTTGTCAACTAGATCATGGCACTGAGTGCCACATCAGTCATTTTTTGAACACCTCCAGGGATGGGGACTCCATCACCTCCCTGGGCAACCCATTCCAATGCTCAACAACCCTTTCCATGAAGAAATTCTTCCTGGTGTCCAACCTGAACCTCCCCTGGCACCGCTTGAGGCCATTTCCCCTCATCCTCTCACTTGTTCCCTGGGAGCAGAGCCCAACCCCACCTGGCTCCACCCTCCTGTCAGGGAGTTGTAGAGAGTGAAAAGGTCCCCCCGAGCCTCCTCTTCTCCAGGCTGAGCCCCCCAAGCTGTTCCTCACATGATTTACTCTCTAGACCCTTCCCCAGCTTTGCTGCCCTTCTCTGGACACGTTTCACAGACGCCTTTTAGTCTGAGTTAACCTGTGCCTGTTACTCAGCTGGGACAGCCCAGGGGCCTCTGAGGGGTTTAATAAAGGCCAAGTGTAGGTGCCTCCCCGAAGTGGACACTCCTTGTTGTCACTAACAAGTTTCCACTGACGTGAAACATAAAACTTTCCCGCCCCGCCTGCTCCTCCTGCCTCCATCCCTCTCCTTTTGTTAAGCCTCCTGGCAGCACAAAGTGTCACCTTCCCAGCGTTTTTTAATATGAATGTGAAATTAGTGAGGTTTGCCCTTTCCCCTGGCGGACAGAATCCTCTGTTATTAAAAAGTAAAGCACTTTAATAATGAAAACTTTTTCTCTTTTTCCTGTGTTTTAACTGTTTAAAATTAATGAGAAGGGCATAACGGTTGTCAAAGCGATATTGAAAGCCGGGTAGCCAGGACCGAATAAGCACGAAAATCCCTCCAGAGTGTTAAATAAACAGTGCTTCAGCCCCCTCTGAATCCCTGTGTTGGTTATTGTATACATTCTGTAACAGCACTCAGAATAGATCTGAGCACCGGGGAGGCAGAAAGGTTTCAGAATTCCAATAAAGGCCTCAAATTAAAGACAGCCTGGTGCGAATTCCAGGAGAAAATTAAAGAGACCTCAAGCTTAAGTGACAGGTGACTTGCTTCTGTGTCACAACTGTCAGGGGATTTAGTGATAATATGGCAATATATTACAAAGGACTTTTCTTATTCCCCCCTTTAGGTTTCAAAATGAGGCATCTCTTCTTCCTGGTGCTGGGGGAAAATAAAAAAAAAAAAAAGAAGAAAAAAAAAAAAAGAATAAAAAAAGTAGGACAAAAACGAGGGATAAAAAAGTAGGTGCATAATTTCCAAAGTGTGAGGTCAGTCCAAGAGATATAAACAAAAAACAAAGCAAATGGCAGGAAACATAATGTCCTCAGAAAACAGCTTCTCCCCTCCTCCCACCTCCACCTTGCCTTTTATCCCCTTCAGTCCCTTGAGACAGATCTCATTTTAAAATTGCACCCTAATGGGCATGAAAAAAACCCCTGTGTTTGATTCCTGCCTTCCAGGTAGGTTCATCTAAAAAAAAACCCCAAAAACTCACCCCAATAATAATAATAGAAAAATAAATCTAAATTTAAAACTGACTCAGAGGCAAACTGTGAAAATAAAACCTGCCCATGATGTGAGTGTCTGGACAGATCAAATAAACCAGTGCCACTGGAAGTGCAGGGAAGCCATCCCATGTGCTTTACTCACACAAGCAAGCTTTAATCCTGCTTGTATCCTGCTTTGGATGAACAGGACAATTAATTTGAGACCCTTACACATTTTTCCAAGATAAAAGCCTACCCCAGAGGTTTGCTTGATCTGCTCCCCATCTAAATTTGTTACATCTGTTAAAAAAGCATCACTATGGCCACTGTGGAGAAATAGTGGGATAGGAGAACTTTCTCTACCTTGTGATTCCTTAAAATCCTGTTCTGATAGATCCTGAATCACTGGCAAAATGACTGTGGACAATTACAGTATTTGTAAGCTAAAAGAAGGGAAGCAAGGAAGAAAGTCTGGGTGCAACATTATTTAACCAGTTCAAGACATCAGGAAAACTCCCCCAAATGCCAACTCCACCAGGAAAACACACAGGTATTTCTGTCAGAAGAAGGAAACTTCCAGTGATAAAGATGGCAGGTTTTAGGTTTGAGAGGTTGGGATAAGTACTGAAAACTTCTGATTTCATTAAAAGAATATGATAATGAAAAAGGAATTGAGACACAGTAAGACCAGACTGAGATAGAAAAGTTCATTTCTAAAACAGTAAAAAAAAAGAAAAAAAAAAAAGAGATGGTGGAAAGAAAAAAACCCACCAAAAAGCCTGGCTGTAACATCTCCTGCTTCCATTATACTTCAAAACAAAATGAAGGATTTTGTTTTAATAACAACTTTTTACTAACCTCCACACACCTTCCCTAGAACTCACCAAGTCCCCCTGCCCCCCTCCATAAAAGTTGAAAGATCAAATTTATTCTCTTTGTAGGCAGGTGAACATTCACACGCCCAGACATAGCCACATATATATTTTATATACCTAAATATAAAATATACATTTTACAGGCACTTCAGCTTGCTCCCTGGCTGCACACACAGAAGCCCAAAAAATACATGTTCCAACGTGGTACTTATAATGGACTTGAGTTGAGGCAATGAGAACTGAAGAGCATTATAATGAGGTTCCTGTGTGCACCTATAATATATACATGACTCAGTGCATGCAGAGCTGATCAGCAAAGCTCACACTCTCTCCAATGGCAACACCACAACTGGATCAGCCTCAGTTCCTTGTGACACCTCTCTGTCCCAGGCAATGTCCCGCTGCATTCCCAGCTTACTGCACTGTCTGTGTGGCAAACTCACAGGATTTGAGAGAGATTAACCCTCATCAAACCTTGGAAAATGCCCCTGCAGCCTCCTGAGGCAGCACTGCTGACCACTCACAGAGCCCCAGTGGCAGTAAAACAGCTAACAAACAGAATGTATCTTGACTGTATTTAATACATTTTCCCAAGTAACTCCTGGTGGGGTCTATTTTATATTGACAGAACTGCTGCAATTTCATCCCCATTAAACAACACAGAATTTTTTCCATGAACTCCATTCCTCAGTCCCAATCCTTTCAGATTCTGAGTCACACAAAAATTGGTTATTCTGCCTTTATAAGTTCCTGCAGCAGATTAAGACCCTCCAACAGCCACAGTGGATATGTCTGAGCTCCAGTGAAGTCAACAGCACAGTCCCACTGTCAGAGGGAAAAGAGGAATTTAATCCCACCTTTGACTGCAAGTGAAAGGAAGCAGCTCCTTCTGTGCCACCTCCGTGCAGCACCTGCCATGGCAGGGCCTGCCCAGCAGCACAGCTGAGCCAAACCAGGGCAACAGCTCCTTTCAAACAGGGTTTGGGTTTATAGTTGTTGAAGGAAAAGGGGAAAGCCAAAAGTAGAGTATTGAAAAAAAAAAAAAAATCTGTGCTTAAGTATGCAGAATGAAATACCAATTTGAGCAGTCTTGGGAGCAAGCAGGTTTTTTGTTAGGTTTTTATGGCTGTTCCAAAGGCATTTTCTCTTGCCACTTTTCAAGACTTAAATCATAATTTCCTGGAACAAAACATATTCCTTTTTTTTTTTTTCTTCTCCCCACTTTCCATGAAAAGAACATTTGTCCTCAAGCCCAGAACAGATAACATTCTGCCCAACATCAGCAACAAATTTAAAGTGCAATTTCTGCATAAATATAATTGGTGAAAAACTCTCCAGAGGAAACCCAAAGTTACCCCCCTGTAAGCACATTTGGGAGAAAAGTATTTACACACAGAAGAACCATTTAAAATAATTTCTTGCATTAACAAAGCACAACTGAACTTTTACATATTTGCTGAGTTAAGAGGTCATATCCTAGGCATGATCCAGACATTTAAAATATAGGCATTTACAGGCTGATTTCAGCCAAAAACTGTGCAGTGGTGGGAAAGAGCTTTAAATAGAGCTGCACAGAAAGCTCAGATCTGGCTTTCTGTGAGACACAGGGTGTGTAGGAACACTGAACATCTTTCAAAAGCCTGTTTACCAAGAACACCACAGTCATCCCTGGGAAACAAGGCGGCTCATCCACGGCGTAACAGAGAGCACGAGCAGGGAAAACAGCATCAAGAGGAAAAAAAGAGCTGCTGCATCATGCCTGACACATTCTTGACTTCCATTCAAAATGAGGGTTCTTGGAGGATTTAATTTGCCAGGATGCAGCAACGCCCGGGACATCAATTGCAAATGACTGAATTCTGTGAATTAGCAGCTTGAAGGCAGACCCAGAGCTGGCCCAAGTCAATAAAAAAGGTGCCTGACAACCCAGGGAGCTTTGGTTTAGGCTCCAAGTAAATACAGATGATAAAAAAACCCCGTGTAACACATCACCAAATACATTTTCCTTATTTCTTCAGAGAAGTTTAGTGCCATTTGTCATCTCCAACAGTATTTTAGTGCAGAAAACCCAGGAAGAACAGAAACATTGAAGGGGGGAAAAAAAACCCTAAGCTTTTGCAGCCAGAAGCCTTTATTGTTTTTTACAAAGATAATTGCTGAAGAGTTAGTAAGCAACTGCTTTTTGGGGACAAGAAAGTCTGGAAAATTGTGATATAAGGCAGTTCTGTAATTATTTGGACTGCCTGACATCATGGCTATACCAATCCTCGTGTTATGAAGAAGCTAAGGCAGGAATACTCGTGGTGTTTAACTGGTAGATGAAAACTGGAGCAGTTCCAAAATCAGCAGAGTAACTCACCTTCCTTCCTGGTCTGTGCAACTTGAAGCGATCATCTTTCATCAGGCTGGTTAACACCTTCTCCATCTTCATCTCTGAAACACTGAGGCAGCAAAGACAAAAATTACTATTTCTCCTACTTAGAAATACAAAGTGGAACAAGCCACAGACTGGAAACACTTGAGCAAAAAGATTGAGATTTACATGTTCAGCTTAAGGATTTATCTCTGAAATAAATGAGGTCTTAGCCCAGGCACTCCCTCAGCAACCCTCAAATTGTAACTTCTGTGAAATCTTGGCCCCAGTTAAACTCACTTTGTGTCACAGAGGCAGTTTCATCCACAATCTTGTCATGTGTTGTAAGTAACCAACATATACTCCAGTTCTAACACAGCATCAAAATAACTGAGGGTGGACTTTCAGTTCACTGAAAGTCTCCTTGGCTCTCAACCAGAGGAACTGATTGAAGAAAAAATTTAGGTCTTTAATTACACTTCCATTATTTTCAGAATTTTTCTTTCCTTGCACTGAGAAGCACCAAGACAATTGGGAACCATCTGGTTATGTTTTCCACTAAAAGAAACTCCAGACAGAGTTGAAGCAGTTCATAACATTAATGCTTCTTGTAGATTTGCTTTGTAACTCTAAAGAATAAGATCTGCAACCTCCACCTTGAACCAAGAGGTTGTCAAACATTTCACTGTACATTTGATGCCATGGGCAGGGAGCAGGAGGTGTTTGTATTTGGTTAGTTGTGCAACTGTGAGAGAGAGATTGACTGTCACACACACACACACACAGAGGCTGGAAACGTGCTCCACTTACTTTGCTACTTCTCCTACATCTTGTCTCCCCCAGTTTAGCTTCCAGAACCTCTGGAATAAGAGACACTCAACCCTCACTCAAAGGATTGAAATGCTTTGCTGTTTACACGCATTTGTTTCCACCCCTGTTAGAGACCATGCTCCCAAAATTATGAGCTAAAGCTAAAGCTGTGTAAAGACACAGCTCCTTCCTCTCATAGTGATTCAGAGGATAACAACTAAATCCCAAGGATCTTCTCCTATCAAGCCAATTCTCCCACATCTTCCTTCCTTCTGGTCACATCATCACTCTTTCCCACAAGACCTACATCATTCCAACTCCTGGCTACCTTGCCTGGGTCAAAGCTCAGAGACACCTCCCAGAGGACACACTCACCCTCCAACTCATTTATAGCCTCAAAATCCACTTCTGACACCAGCTACACAGTTTGATTTCCTTCCCTGTTCTGAGAACTCACCTTCCCTCTCATCTGAAGTGCAAAGCCCAAGCCCAGCCCATTAGGGACCCCACAGCATTTTTTTCAAATGCAGGAGCCTCAGTCAGCTGTCCTAGCCAGGCTTCACACTGGGCATTTATTTTCATTCTGTCGACTCACATTCCTCCTGTAGACTCAACCAGATGATTTATTCTCCAGTCCTGCTTGCAAGACACTGCTGGGCACTGCTATGGCCCAGATATGGAAATGCTTACAAACCTGCTTCATTTCCAAGCAAACAGTCCTACTTAGAGGTGCATTTACAGGAGACTAGGAATTCTTTGTCCTCTTTAACACTGTCTTATGGGGCACATACACACACCAGGTGACAACACAGGAACAGCTGTGCAGCTCCAGGCCATTAATATTACAGCTGCATCCAAACTGGGTCCTGTTTCCAAGGGAATTACTCAGATTACAGAAGCTGAAGTTTGTGGGCCCAAATTTTCAGTCATGGCCAAAGGTCATTTCTAGAAAAGAGATTCCTTTCCTTTCAATACCAGAATAAATCATAAATGCACAGAAGCCAAGGAGTTCATTTGGGATGACATCAATCTTAAGGAAGAGAGAAATCTTTGGGGTCCAACAGTTCTCAGATGGCCAGAAAAGTGCCTGTGGGTTCTGAAAGGAAACATTGCTGATATTCTTCAGTTTGTAAAGTACAGAAAGAAATTATAAGAACAAGGGTATTGTTTTCACTCAAAGCTCTCTGAACACCTGGCTAGCAGGAATGGATGAATCTTTGCCATACTCTGTACAGTGATCCTCACCTGCTTCCCAGCCCTTACCAGTTAAAGCAAAAAATACATTTACTTTTGCAATCTTGCCTTTTCAACCCCACCACAGCATAAGGAGAGGGAAAGAGAAGGCCCAGAGGAACAGGGACAGGCCATAAGATCCTCCTGTATGGGAGACCAGCCCCACTGCTGTGCAGCTGGGAGATTCCTTCAGAGGACAGGGAGAAAGGCGGGGGAGCCATGGGGGAGAAAGGGAAATGGAGCATAAAACGACAACCGAGGGTTTCTCTGTTTGGTTTTGCTACGTAGAACAGTAAATTAAAACATAAATGGCAACCACTTAAGCAAGAGAAAAGCAGGCCTCCCCCTCCCCACCCCTGGCAAAGGTTGCTTTGACGCCGCTATGAATGAAAATGTCAAACCTTTGACATTGATTTGTCGGAGTTGTCACCCCCTCTCCGATCCTCCCCTCGCCTGGCGCGACGCCAGCGCAGCAGAACAGATCTGTGAGCCTGGTTCACAGCGGGGAGCAGCCAGGGGAGCAGGGGAGGGGGGTCTGCACAATCCAGGAGAAGGGAGAGAAACGACTCGTGCCTTCACGGTGATGCCTTTTCCTTTATAAATTAGTTAGGCCGCCGTTAGGAGATAAAGAAATTATCTGATAGCTGTCGAGGCAGGCGCTGCCGAGATTGCAGCTGAAGGGACTAAAAGAGACATAAAGGAAGGGGGAAAAAAGTGAACCTCACAGACTTTCTTCAGCTTCTTGCCTCCTCCCTTTGAAGGAAAATCTGTTAGTTGTGCTCCGAGCTGAGATAGAACCTTAAAAAAAAAAAAAAAAAAAAAGAGAGAGAGGAAGGAAAGAGGAAATGAGCAGAAAACATGAGTGTGCATGTTCTGCACGCAGGAATTTACAGCTGGGGAGAGGAGCCACAACTTCGAGCCACACAAAGCCCGAGCAGAAAGTTGCAGCTTCCCCCAGCCCCACCGGGAATTCCCGATCTCAGCAGAGCCAAAGTGAGATGGTTTTGGCAAAGGCTAACGCTGCTTTTCCACAGTGGAAGCCAAGGAGAGGCTTCAGGTACCGGTGAAAATTAATTGCGAGCGATTTCCAATTTCAAAGGCAGTCATCTCTAATTCCGAAGTGGATTTTCATCCAGGAACAAAGCCATGTCTGCTCTCATTACTTCCGACTCTCAACATTCCTGGACTTACTCCCATGCATGCTGGGGTGGGTGGAGGGGTTTAGGAAAAAACTCTGGGTCGGATCCTCATCTGCTGTAAACCAGCACAGCACCACTCGTTTACACCAGCTGAAGGCTGCAGGGACCCATCTCATGCTTTGTCTTCTTCAAAATACATATTTTATGAAGTATTTACATTTCAATAAACCCAGCGGGAATTTCATTTAAAAAAAAAAAAAGGAAAAAAAAACCAAAACCAAAACGAATTAAAAAAAAATTGTCACCAGACACACACGCCCTCGACAAAAACTCCAGAGATTTAAAAATTAAGCAAAGAATAAAAAAAAAAATTTAAAAAAAAGCAAACTCCAGTAACTCGTGCAGACCAAGTCAAAAGCTACAAAGACTTAGGGTAAAGAACAAAAATGAGCAGTGCTTAAGAGGCTCGGTGACAGTCCAACACATGCTGTCTTTCGCCCTCGCACTGAATTAAATTGTCAGGATTATCACCATAATGCTCTGTTTATGAAGGGTAACGGCAATTTGTGCTGATGGCACTTGCTGCCTTTAGCTCCAAGCTGCCTTCCTGCATCTTCTCTGCAATTCATCAGCTCCCTGCTCTGTCCTGGTGCCCCTTCCCACATCCATGTGGGAAGAGCAGAGGCCACACGGCTGCGAGCGGGCCGATGGCCCTCCCGTGCCAATTAGACACTTGCTTCCTTCCCTCTGAAGATGGGGGTCAAGGAAGGCAAATTACACTCCCTTTTTGGCCAGTCCTTTATCTGCAGGGCAGCACGTTTTATGAAGAACATCAAACAAACAAACACGAAAAGACAGTCCCCAGAGTTGTTCGGCTGCGAAAAGTGAAGGAAAAATAAATTCACATAAACCTCCCCCTGCTCATTCAGAGTCTTCTGCAGATTCCTGAAGACCATGGCCAGCTCAACAACAGGTCCCCTTAGCAGATGTAATTACCAGCCTGAGCAAACTTAAACTTGTTAAAAACCAACAAAATTGGATAAAAGCGTGAACACTTAAAATAAAAAAGAAGGAAATTTCCCTCTCCTTCCCCTAACACGTCCAAAATGTTATAAAATAGAAAAATAGAACTTTCCACTTGGAGTTAAAAATTCACAATTATGTGGGATTTCACCTTTAAATGTCAGTGCTGTTTGTTACATGAAAAAAACCCCCTGTCAGCTTAGCCTTCCATGTCTTGCTGGTGTCTGCTTAATAGATAGTTACCTGGGATGATGGATGGCTCTTTGTTAGACCACTAAATGGCTCACAGCCTAGAATAAGCCTGTATTTACTGCCAACAATTGTTTGTTTCAAGGATGCAAAACCAAATTCGATTCCAAGCAGCTCCACCCGACAGAAACACGAGAAATAAAAGAGAACTAATTTGTGCATGAGTTTACAGGGCTCCATCAACGCTGGTACAACACTGAGGGGACTCTGCTGATGTTCTCAAACGCTGAGAGACAGCACTGCAGGGAGCAAGGGGAGTCACACACACCCAGCTGAGGAGGCTCCAGACCCACCAGCACTCCTGCCTAGCAATGTGAGCAGCCAGTTGTGGGGTTTCCCCACAAAAGGACCATTGTGCAAGCAGAGATGGACTAAAATCTCACCATGTGTTGGCCACCAGGTACCTGACTGCACACTGGACAGGTCTTTACTGAGCCTGGCTTGCTCTCCTTGCTGTCTACTTCCAAGTCTAAGCTAGAGCTGATGTGAGAGAAGCCTTCCCAAGGCTTGGAAGAACACTCCAATTTGGTTGCAGAGTCCACCCTCCCTTTTTGCCTTCCAGGACTGTCACAAGCCACTTAAACAACCCATCTTGGTCGATTACCTGCCAGGTATGACCCACATCTCCCCAGCAATTTCTCCACCAGATCTCTCCTGAAGAACAAGCACAGCCTCTGATAATACCTCTGATAATATGGTGCCATGCAGGCAGATGGCCAGGGAGCATCTGACAGGCTCGTTTGACTCGTGATCTCCACATAGTCACGATTTGAACCCAAGGCCAGAGAGAAAACAACGAGGTGAAAAAGACCCCTGACTATGGTCTCCTCTCTGCCCCTCACCACACACACTCACTCACGCACAATCTGTCAGGCTGATGATTTTCACGCACTTCCCTCTTCTCCTTTTGCTAGTCTGGGGCCAGTCCTGGATCACAAGAATTAATAAATTCTTATTAAAACCTGCACGAGACACAGTCCCGCTGCAAGTGCCACGGAAGGTTAATTAGCAAGGATGAGCTGAAACTTTTGCTCGCGTTTCTGACTCACTTAATCTTGTGAGAAGCCAGCAAGCTGACATATCCTGCCTCCGAAGGCGCCAGGACAAGCAGGCTGTTCCCGTGGCAGCCAATGCGAGCCGTCCTCCCGATCCGGTGGATGTATTCCGCAGGTGAAGCCGGAGCGTTGCACTTCAGAACGGGGAACACGGGGAGGGGAGAGGAGGAATTAACAGGACACGGCGTGTTAATTACAAACGAGACGCTCGCCCCGCTCTTCTGGAAACAAAAGGGATCTCGGCAAACCCCACTGTGGGGCTGCAGCTCCCCTGGAATTGGGCTGTTTGTGAGGTGCCCGTGGGGCTCGTCCCTGGAGCCATCACTCAGCCCCCTCAGCTTTTTGACATGTCAACGTGACACGTCGGCCAACTCCCAGGTAACAGGACAGTTTCCCCATCTCGGTGTCTCTCTTCGCCTTTTACATTTTATTTCTACACAGGCATGTCAGAAACCTGTTGGCTTCCCCTAAAAAAAAATTCATATAAAATCAAATCTCGCAATGACCTCAAATCAAACAACTCCCAGGACTGCCCACACGGAGCGGGGAGTCGCCTGCTCTGGATTTGGGAGAAAAGCCACAAAATAAAAGGCAACTGATTCAAATTTGGAGTTGGGCTAAATTGCCTTGTTTGGATTAAAGCAAATCATAGCTGGTTACTGGACAGAATAAATCTAAGAGAGAGGAGGGAGTGCTTTCAGCAGTGTATGACACAGGTGGCAACTGTCTTCCCATGTAAAACTACCAGGCACTACAAAAATGTTGCTTAAAGACCCCCCAAATATAGCAGTGCCTCTCATTTACTTCACTGGGAATCAAAACTGCCCAGCCATCTGCAAGATCTTACAAAGGGTGACATATTTCCCTCCCTTTAACCTCCCCCTATTCTTGCCCCCCTCCTCTCTTTCCTGGAAAAATGAACAAGCACAAGAGATACTGCTCAGAAATGAGCCCTCAGCAGTTTAACTGGAAAAAACCCAACAACCAAAGCCCACTCTAGTGTTTATACCTGTGCCCTCTGGCAAAGTTTCTACTGGCTAGAGGTGTGAGTAAGATGCTGTGAGCAATCTAATTGCTCCCTGCAGGTCCTTGCTCTTGGACACAGCTCTCAGGACAGCTGAGATTTCGCCTTCTGGACACACAGAAGTCTCCCAGGGCTTTAGGTAATTTGCACTGCGTTCTAACACTGGCAACTATATCTTTGGTTAAATTATATTAATATACAGATCTGGGAATTAAAGACTTCACTTCCTCAGCCTTCTCCAACTAGCTGGCTGATATAAAATCATTCTTTTTTTTTTTTTTTTTAAAAACACAAAAATCAAATCAAATTTGTTACCTGAAGGGATGAGGTAGAAATTAAAAAGCTTTGTTGAGGCTCTGTGCCTTGTTCCTTCTACCCAGGTGTCGCTTGATACACGAGAATCTCTGGATCAGTTTTTCCTCAGTTCAACTAACCTTTTTTTAATTATAAATCTTTTATAGAAATGAAACCTGCCTCATGCTCTCAGCCTCCTCTTTGAAATGACAGGCTGCTATTTTTAAGGTTCAATCCATCTTCCTTAGTTTCTATTTTTTTTTTCCCCAAAGACTATATTCCTGTCAACAGCAACACAGGAGTGTGGGGGTTTTGTTGGGCTTTTTTTTCAGGGAAAATCTGAACTATGCAGTTCTACTGGAAGCTGGATGCCTCAACCCAGCAAAGCCTTACTCCAAACACTCAGGTCACTGCACAGACACTATTGGGCTACTTGATGTTTAACATTAGGATTGCATTTAAACTCCTCATGGAACTCCCTCCCTGGAAAGCTCAGGAAAACAGAAACACAGAACTGCAAGACATGGCCGGTACTTCATAAGATTTGACCTCCTGTGGGGGGAAATGGAGGGTGTTTCATCCCAGCCAGTGGAATATTATTCCACAGCTGGTAACACTGTGGAAGAGAAAAATCAGACTAAAGATGTGGAATCAATGTTGTCTCCTCATAAAACCCTTAGTCCTGCAGTCAGGAACACGTGGGTCTCCCACACTGGCAGGCATCAGCATCAAGACCAGAAAACTGCAGGAAGGTCCTGGACTGAAAAGGGATTTCCTCTGAGCACTTAAAACACACAGACACTCACAGCAAACCCACCTGTACGATCCATGTAACTTGAGGCAGGTCTAGTCCCCGTGCTGCAACATCCTTTAAAATTAATAAGGAAATTATTTTAGTAAAGATGCTTTGGAGATACCAGGAGAGTGACAACTCTTCTGGGATGGCAATTATGTCAGAAGGCAACTGGCTGTGCAGGAAGGAATTGTATGTGCCTAGTCTGGGGAGAGATGGACTGAAGGTCAGAAATAACACTGAGGGTTTAAAATGCAAGGACTGTTATTAACAGACTTAATACAATAACCAATGACCCACTACTATGGCCCAAAGCCTGGAGGATATAAACACACCTATTTCAGGAGGGTGGTGCTGAATTACAGCAGTTTGCTACAGTCATTTTGCATTTTATCTCAGAGAATCCACTGCCTGAATGGCCTTTGGATCATCAGTTTGCTTCACTGATGAAAACAGACCTACTACCCAAACGATGAGAGGCAGAATTCAACCTCTGGAAGGCAACATCATCTCTGAGCACATCTTTCTCCACAGCAAGCCTAAGTACCAAAAGCAGGCTGCTTATGATGAAAAGGGAAGAAAAAAAAAGGCAAATGGTCAAGGATCCCTGGCCTTGAGTAGAATGTCCAAAGATACACTGATCTCTACCTACAAATAATTAGTTGTTTCCTAGGTGATGGGCTGAATTTGAGGAGCAGATGACTTGCAGGTCACCTGGCCCTAAAAACAAAGGTCAACAAACAATTCAGCAGAATCTGTGGGAAGTTGGAGCACAGCTCAAGGAGAGGGGACTTCAGCTCTCCCTTAGATATGCACCAGTCTGGCTTTCATTTGGAGAAACAAAATTCAGCTGTGAAGAAAAGAGTCTGAAGCTGCTGTCAGGGGTGTTATTTGATGTGCCAGCCGGTGAGAAAACCCATCAAATTGGAGAAGGACTTGAATGAGACCCTTCGGTTATCCACAGCCAGAACAGCTCAAAAAACACACCCTTTCAGAGAAAAGAGAGTTTAAATACTGCCCAAATGGAGAGTGCAAACACATTTCCATCTCCCTTCTTGAATTTCTGTTCATTAGTAATGTCCTCACATCCTCCTTGGATTTTACATTCACCAGGCGCAATAGCAGAGCAGGTGTGCAGATTTAACTCTGTTAGGAAATGTTTTGGAACACATGTATCTCTTAGCTAGTTGCAAAATAGAATATATTAAGGACGTAAGCAGGAGCTTAATGTACTAAAAATGTGTCAGCCACCCACTGAAGTGTTTTCATGCAACTCCCACACACGTTAAAAGACTGGGAAGCTGATGTTTTGGCAGCAAAGGCCTTCCCACAAGCACTAGCCAGGCTGCTTTGTGGCTCCAACTGCAGTAAAAGAGGAGACACTTTCCACCGCGCCCACTCCGAAATAACACACACTTGTGCTCCAACACGCTCATTAAGAAGCGACTTGTTCCCAGAGTCAGAACGAACAGATGTACAAAAAGCCATTTAAAGGAGGTTGGAGAAAATAAATCAAGAGAAGTCGGGGAATGTGTACGGCAGTTACCGGGATAACAAGACTATAAACTCTACAGCACGATCAGACGGCAGCGCTGACGTCTGACTCCGAGCTGCCGGCTCTGTTCTTCCACGCTGACAAGCCTTTGGTCTTTTCCTTTGCTGTGCTCTTCCTCACGCCCAGGAGGTGAGGAAAGGCTGTCTGATGAGAGGGCTCTGACCCTGCGACAGGGTCAGTTCCCCCAAACCAAACCAACAGCCAAGCCCTCCCTGCGGTCGAGAGAAGGCAGCTCCGACACGGGAAGGAGCAGACAGCAGGGGCAGGAGCCACCCCTCTAATCTATCCAGACTTTCTCCCTCCTTCCAAGATACATTTTCTCAACACCTCAGGTTGGAAAATCACTGCCACAAACAGCATTGTTCTCATGTGCATTTGCCAGAGTTGAAAAGAGTAACCAAAAGCCTTACAAATAGCCAGGGACAACACTTAGGAGAAGGCTCTCTCCCATCATCAGCCTTGTATTCCAACACTGTTGCTTTCACAACGCCACCAAATCCCCTCAGTCCTTACTGACACACATCAGCAGCTATTCTCCTGGGGTTTCACTTGGCTTTCTTTCACAAGTCTCTTGGGATTTACTGGTAATTGGAGTGTTTTGCAAACTCTCAAAGATTCCTCAGTATCAGTCCACCTGTGTCTCCTGTAGCTCCTTTTCCTCAAAGGCCCCAGCAGACAGTAGGAAGGTAGAACTAGGGTAAAAAGTTGGAGTTGATTTGCTTTCCTCTGCTGGCAGAGCCTGTGAGCTTCCACTTCTCAGAATTTTAAAAAATTACTTATGGGTCAGCTTAGCAGGAGAGAGAATACAGCTCAAGCAACAATTACCCAGTTTCACTAGCACACATTTATTCCACGCACAGAAGCACTACCCTGCTGCCAGTACTCTTTCAAGAAGCCCAATAGATTTCCAGTGTTCCTCTCTTCCACCCATCAGACATTCCCCTTTCCGTGCATGACCTTACACCGCCATTCCTTAATTACAGGGAAATCAAGGATATGACACCTTGGCAGGTCACTGCTGACTCCTTTCAGTGGGCAGTGGAAGGCAGAATTCAGTGACCACCTCACGGGAGCAAGGACAAATAACCCACACCAGTGCAATTTTAAAGAAAGCCCAGATGCCAAGCAAACACTAAAATCTGAAGCCCTGACCACGTTCCTGCCCTGATCCCAACTGCAAAGCACAGAAGGGCACAGGACTGAGGAACAATCCACCTGGGGAACTCCAGAAAGGCTGAAATTTCTGCTTCTAATAATTGATGTTACCAGCCTGTGCCTGTGGTGGTGGGGTACAGGGGGTGGGTGCAAGGGAATGGGGGTACAGGGGGCAGGTGCAAGGGAACAGAGAACTAAAAGGCCACCCCAAAAGCAAGGCCTATCACTGCAGAAGATCAGAACCAACATGGCCACAAAAGTTTTGCGAGGGCCTTGGTTTTGCTCAGTCCCTCTCACACAATCTAATTAGGGCAAAGGAAATTGCTAAAGTTGCTTTTGAAAGACACTCAATGGTGAGGTCTTGAAGGCCCTGAGCTTGACAATTGGCTGCCTACATGAGGCCTAGAAGTACAGATGGAAGGCAGCTTGCTCAGGTGCCAGGCTGTCAGTTGGATTAAAATGACTCATTTATTTACCAAAGAAGCTCACAAAGTGCTTTAGCTAACAGGCAGAGAGGGCCTAACGGCTCTCCAAGCTGGGGAAGAAGCTCTCGCGCCTTCCCGGCCTGCCAAAAGTCATTACTGCCGAGTGTGGAAAGCCATCAGCAGGGTAGAGACCCCCGTCGGCAGGGTGACAGATTGGGCTGCGTAATCAGAGGAGGAAGGGGAGAGCACAGAAGCTGTCAGAGGCGAAAGCTCTTGGCTGGGGCCGCCAGAAAACTGGCAAGATGAGTTAGCGTGACTGAGTAAACAGCAAACAATCTCCAAATGATCTTTCCTCCCTCCCTGGAAGAGATGAACTTGTTTAAAAGGCACGTCCCAAAGGAAGCCGCAAAGAACTTCGGTGAAGGAGAGAGAAATAAATCTGGATGAGACCCTCTGAGATGCGCGGCCCTTCCTTATTTTCTTGTCTGCCAGCTTATATTGTCTGGCAAAAATATTTTATGGAATATATTAATATACACATGACATAGAGCAAATTAATAAAAGGAACAGCAGGTCCCATTGCTTACTAGAGCGGAAAGATGGGTGGAGAACATGGCATAAGGGACAAGGGAAGGACGGCAACATTATTTGTGTTGCTCTTTTGTGAGCCAGGTTTCAAAATTTTGTGGGCACAAAGCGTGATTTCGCGGTGAGAAGAACAGAACCATCTTTTTGCAGAGCGTTTTTTTGCCGATATGAAGGAAAGTGTCAGAAAAAGCAATGCCCTCGGAGGCAGGAGGTGGTCACAGTGCCTGGCTGCCCTTTGGACATCTGCGTTGGGGAGGCACCTGTAATGTGGGACTGGTGCAAAGTGTATCTCTATATTAAGGTGTCCATATGGTCCCCATTACTGTGGTAACAGGCCACCTCCTGGTTTCAATGCATTTGTCCTCCCAACATCTCTGTAAGATAGAACTGTGCTACTTTCCCCATTTTGCAGATGGGGAGTTGAAGCGCTGAGAGATTTTGGACTCAGACACACAACTTACTGTGCTTAACGTGCTGACCGTGTGCCAGCTGAGCCATGGTCACCATAACCCTCAGGATCTGCATCCCTGCCTTGCAGGAAATGCAAAGTGGCTTAGATTGAAATGGAGGAGGGTTATGGTCAATGTGTTACCTTACACCACCCTCTTCATGGCAATCCAGGTTAACTCACGTTACCTCCCATTTGTGCCAGGTCTGGGGCAAACTCAACTACCACTGCTCAGCTGACATGTGGCTACTTGCCTTGTCATCCCAATTCCATATCCACCTGCACAGAGTCTGTGGCATGGCAGGAAATCAAACCACATCTCCAGTGGCTCAAGAGGGGAATCCCATCCACTGAGATTTCTTTATCCAACTTCTTCTTCCTACCTTGTGTCAACAGCTGTATGCTTCCTGACAGATTTTTCCTGTCACAGGCTGCATTTCCCCTTCAAATGGTCTCACTCAGGAACTGATAGCCCAGAGACTGCAATGATCCTGCCTTCTCTTTGTCTGAAATTGAGCATTCACTGTCTTTCCAAACTCATTAAATTGGAATTTCAATAACAAGATATGCACCTGAAATTTCTCAGATATAGGCAGCATGTGCATGAAGCATAACAAAGTTTAGCTATTTATTTTTTGGAACTTACCAAACACTTTTTATCTTCAAATCACTTAACCTACACCACTGAATGATCTAAGCTTTGCCATTCTTCTCAATTGAGACATGAAAGTATTACCTCTGCATACAAGGAAACCAAGTTATAGTTACAATTATGCATAGCAAGGATGCATTTTGACCTTGATCAAACCACTGAAAGGTCCTGCACACAAGCAGGAGCAGGACTAGCATGTAACAAGTACCATTTTAGAGGTGATATAATATATAATTTGGCAGTGCTAAATCAAACACTCCCATACACATGACAGTCCTGGGTTGAACTGCAGGCATAAAAATAAAAGAAAATCCAGCCCCTACTCTCTGAACAAAATTGCAACTGGTTTCCTTTAAGAACACTGTGCTGCAAGAAGAGGAGTCATTTCAGAGCTGGAGAGGGTTTCTCAGCTCTAATTACTCCCGATCGCTGTAATTTACAGGTTTGCGGTGGGTAGAAATCGCCAAGATTCACACGTTTGCAGATCAACAGCTGCCACTATTAGAGAGCAAATCGTGCAGCCTTCTGCACCACTGCAGCAGGCTGTGGCACCCACAGGTCAGCAACGAGAGGGGAAGGTGCCACCACAACACAAGGGTGCCAGCAAACTTCAGTAGAGGACAAGAATTTCTCCCTCAGCGCCCCTGGAAGAAGCTTGAAGGGCACAGGGCGTGGAGAGCAGCAGAGTATGTGCATCTGCAGTGACCCCCTTCTCTGGTTGGGCTCCCCTTCCACCCCTGCAGGTGTTTGGTTTTAACCCTTGGGTAGTTATTAAGATGGGAAATATCACATTACATCCAATTTTTCTGGCAGTTATGGGGTATGCTACAAATCAGGATTGCATTCTACTGGCTGCATGTAGAGGGCAAGGCTCCAGCTTCAAATGAACAGATTTTTCCAGACATAAGGCCATGCAAAATACTTAGTGGCCTCTGTATAAGACATCTGTGCATGGTACCTTGCAGCAAAAGATCATATAACAGTTTGCAAAGAGGGCCCCAGTCCTTACTTAACATATGAGATGCAGAAAAAGGAGATGACTTTCCTCAAGGTCAGACAGAGCTGGAATCAGAGCTCAGTGCCAAATCCTCTGGTCTACCATTAGGGATCAGACAGGCCCATTAGTGTGGAGCTGCAAAGGGACTCCAAGTTACTTACAGTGCAAAGCAAGACCCCGGTCTTGGATTTTAGGAACTCCTGGAAGACCTCTGTTCTTTCCTAGAAGATCAAAAAATAAAAATTAAAAGACTGCTTATGCAGATTGCAATCAAAGACAAAGCAGATTAGCTAAGGTAACAATTTAACAACTGTGTGTTGTTCACTAGATCATATACGGCTTCAAAAGCAAAGGAATTGGCCTCATGAGTTCCAGTAAGACTCTTCCTGCAAATGGAAAAAAAAAAATCTGTGGCACACAGGTGTGATCCCAGGCAGGAAGGAACAGTGTCTGGGGAAGGCTGGATGCATTTGGTCAAAACAAAGCAGCCAACACCTCCATGGTTTGCACAGAAGCACAGCCTGTGTATGCCAAAAAGCAGGAACAGTTTTACATGGAGAGGGGATCCACAAAGGATTAGGCAGCACCAGCAGAAGCACTGGCACACTTTGTGGGCAACACAGGCTTTTGTGAGTGCAAGGAAAAGCTGGACATGTTCACTGCTGTCTGTCCAGTCACACGATGGGCAGGATAAGCCCATTTTGTTGACACAGTGATATAATCACATCACAAGAGATCAGGCTCATCATGTGCCCAATGGGCCGTGCAGACAGCCCTGCACTGACTCGGGGGTTATTAAGTATCGGCGACGTTCAGCTGCTCATGTGAACTGCTGTGGGACAAGACTTAGAGTAATAGGGCTGGAGAGATGAGAGCTTGGCCAGAACCCCCTGTCCATGTAGGTAAGCAGGCAGGACTCCTGGGCTCTGCAGGCAGCTCCCAGGGCACCCTCCCTGAGCCCTTCCCTCACACTGGCAAAAGCCACCAACAGGCTGCAGACACTGGGACAGAGGCTGTTCCTTCCCATGGGTTTCAGAGGCAGGTGCTCCCCAGCCTTGTCCCCATCATGGGTCTGCACCAGCACAACTCCTGCAGCCACCACTTCCAATATGGGCTCAGGCCCTGAGGCAGGGCCAGCCACAGCCCCCAGATCCCAAATTATCCCACCAGCAGTCTTTGAGCCACTGAGCCCCAGAACTGCAGGAACCCAGTACAGCTCCTCAGTTACCTTCAGAAGCCTCCTGCTTTGCCAGTCCCCAAACCAAAGCTGACAACTTTGGGGGCTGTTTTTAACTGGATAAAAGCCACAAAAACTGACTCCCCAACTCACATTACATCCCAATGATATCTGCTGTCTGACAAGACAGTCTCTGAGCACTAATAACCAAAGGCCTCAGCAGCACTTGGCCTTTGCTCACCAGTACCACCTCTGCACCTACACTCCCCCTCTGTAGTTGTGGGAAACAACTGCACACACACAACTCCTTGATCTGGTTCCATTTGCTCTTCTGCTTTTCAGAGCTTAGGTCTTCTCTGGCCTCAGAAACACCAAACCCCTTTCCTTTCTGCGCCCTCCTTCCAAAACATCCTTGTTCCATGTTTCAAACCTTCCTTCCCAGAGTTCTGGCTGGGAGGTAAGCGAATGGTCTGTTATGTTGATGATACAGAAGAAACCTCACACACTTCACTCCCAGCTAGAGGTACAAAGAAGGGAAACTTGGGCCCTTGCTTACACACTGAACCCTCTGCTGACAAAAATTAAAGAAGAGAGCACGCTGTATCTTGTTGACAATGACAGCAGCCGTGCTCAGCAGTACCATATGGGATCCACAATTTAGCTCCATTAATGCTCTTAATTTGAAGACATCAAGCACTAATTACACACTGGGTACTAAAAAGGTAAAACCCTTCCCCTGGTGCCAGCTACTTAGTGGTGTTCTGTTGGCTTAACAGCTGGTCAGGGTAGAGTTGGGCCAGACCAGGCCTGCTCACTTGCTCAGGCAGGCAGGTTGAGGAAAGGCCAGACTGCAGGGACAGCAAAGCACATGTTTCTGGTCTCCACAGGATGGGAATGAGTGAGAAAAACAATGGCTCTTCACCTCTTGCTTCATCAGAAGAGCTCTATTCATTTACCATCTCTGCTGTGCAGCTCAGAGTAGAGTGGCAACTCTCTCCATCACAGACCAAGGGCAGGATCGGGGCTGAACTTCCAAGGGAGGTCTCTCAGCTACTCAGGGGAACTCTATAGTGACAGCTCATTTGACACTCTTCTCCTGGCCTCTCAGCCCTCTGAGAGGGCTCCAACCTCTTCACTCAGGCCTATGTGACTAGAACCTAAACCTATTTTGAGGTAATCATTGTTGTATTGCTATTATTCCATCCAGGGAAAGGAGCAATCTGTCAAGACAGTGTTCTTCAAAACCAAAGCCAAACTGCTCCATCCTCATCTAATGGGGGCAAGCTATTAGGTGGTAATGTTTCAAGGCTTGGGCAAGGTTTTCCTTTGGCATTAAAAGTCTGTCTGGACTGCATGAGAGAGAACCACAGGTCATAATGGACATTGTGACCACAGGATATAAATGGTTTAAGTGCACCCACTGGGAATAGAGAAAGGCTGCCTCAGCCTGCTGAAATAACACCTCTTGCCTCTTCAGCTGTGCTTTTCAGATACAGCTACCAAGGTACTTCCCAGAAATGGGACAATATCCTTAGTCTCATTAGCAGATGGAAGAGTGAGGCCCCTAGAGGTGAAATGACTCTCTGTCCTCTCTTCTGCCCTCTTCCCCAAAATAGCCACATAATAAATCATAGGGAATAAGGAATAAAACTGCGTATCCTGACGTTTTGGGAATGCTTACTTCCTGTTCCATGTCGCCGTGCAGACGGAGAAACTGTAAGGACACGGAGGAGGGAGATGAATGTCCAGGTTGTTCCAACTCTGGCCCTCCTGCAAGGACCTTTACAAGGAGATCATAGTAGAATTCCACTTGTTCACAGCTGGAGAAAAAGATGATCATCTTGTGGTGTTTTTCAAACTGCACGAAAAACAAGAGAATTGCACATGATCACTTCCACAGGACTCCCCCAATTCCCTGATCACTAAAAGATCCCAGTGGTTTACACTTCTGAGGATATAATTACATGGAAAAAGGATTACAGAGTTTGACACCAAATAGTGAGCTCACAAAGGAAGTGTGAGTACACATCTCACTGCCAGCACAAAAGACACAACAGCACCTCAGCTCTCTTGTGGTTCAAGATGTACTTCAAAGCCCTGGATCTAATCCATGCTGTCCTCAACAGAGGAACAGATAAAGGAGCTGGAAAGGGGAAAGGGCTGCTTAGTAATATAAATGCAAACAGAATCTCACCTTGCATTTCCCAAGGATAAAAGCTGCTAATGTGACAAGCCTCAGTTTGCTGGGGACAATCACAAAATACTGCTTGAGCTTCTCTGGAACAGCAAAATTTTCCTGCTCCGTGCAGTTCGATGAACTACTGGCTTCTCTATCCTTTTGTGATGCTGGTTTGAGCACCTTCTGGATTTCATCTGCTATGGAAATGCTGACGGGATCATTCAAACTGATATCGGCCAGTCGAGTTACTCCTGAACCACAGAAAGTGAGAAACACGTGAGGCCCAGCCTGGTCCAGTCTGGGGTGTGAGGATGTGTTCACAGACATCAAACAATTCACACAATTCCAGTGAAAAGGAGTGAATAGCAAGGACCCAGTGAGCCATGCCTATGCCACTGACAGAACATCTCCACAAGCCTCAGACTTAGCAGGGCTTACCAGGCTTAGCTGCTGTTGACTCCACCAAAACCTTCACAAGACACTACTTCAGCCAACTGTGCTATTTCATAGCACATAAATGTCTTTACAGACAGACAGCATTTGGCAGTCCTGGTTTTAAATGTGTGTGTGGGAAAAAAAAAACAACAAATCTTCACTCTCTCAAGAGTGCAGGAGTCACGAGGCCTGGCTCAACTCCTGCCTAAGGAACTGAGTGCTTGGATGATACAGAGCAAATCACACAACAGCTCTCCTGTTATCAGCTTTCTGCCTTAATTCTGCATTTGCAGAGCAAAGAATCCAATCAGTGCTTTCCAGGTGGCTTTGCTCTCAAATTTGGGAGACATATGTAAGGACCATGTAAATACATACACTGACAGCAATTCCAGTACTGAAGGACAAGTGTCATAAGCCAAAGAAATGAACAGGCATTATTCCACTTCTGCAAAAAGCTTCAAGCTGGGCTGTAACAGTCAGACTCAACCAAGTATTTTGCAGTTGCCTGTGCATTATTCAGCTAAAAGAGTGTGTCTAACCCACCTTCTGTGAGGGTGGCTGACAGCAGGACATTCTGACGTGTCTCCCTGTGGGCATTTAAAGTGTTGAGTATCACAGCCACATCCTTCTCAAAGCCCAGGTCCAGGATCCTACAAAAACAGCAGAGGGGATAAAAAGTGCTCTAGGAAGGAATGAGGAGAAAGTCTTAATACTACATGACATCTTTGCAATGAATAATTGTACAACAATCTGTCCAAAGCGGGTATTTCTTCCTAATCCCAGACATCTGGTGCTTGGCTGAGGCCACTGAGCATGAATGGCTTAAGATCATGCTTTTTGTTGCATTTTTTTTTTTAATATTTAGTGAATTATGATGCAGAGGCCATATTAGTTATTTTCCATATCTAAACACTTGGAAGTTTACCTGTCTGCTTCATCAATAATGAGCCACCGAGTGTGACGGAAATGAATACATTCTGTGGACTTGATGTGATCAACCAGGCGACCAGGGGTGGAAATGAGGATATTTATCCCTTTACGTAATCTGTTTAGATTCAAAAACAAAAGAAAAAAAGAAAATCCCTGTAAGACAAAGAAAGAAAAAAACCCAAAACACATAGGTTACCAGTAACTCTGGAACAGGAAGCCAGAGTGAGGAATTAGAACTTACAGAGGGGGAAAAAGGGCCACAGTAAAATCAGGGACAGTGCTTTCTCACTGATTAAAACTGAAATTTCTTGCACAGCTAAAATTTATTCTTAATCATCACTGATACTCTGATACTCAGAGGCATACTCAGTGAGAAGGACGGGGTGGAAAGAAATATCAATATTAAAAAAATCTAATACACCCAAGTTAGATTTTCCTTTCTAATTGAGTACTTGTTTTACTGCAAAGAGTAAACTTCTTTTTGTGTATGCTTATACAGAGAGAAATGAAAATTCCATTTTGGATTACCAGCTTACAATTCAATTTTTAAAAAGGGAAAAGGAAGGGATTTTTAACACCAGGAAATCTCTTTTCCAGCAAGCAATTTCCCCCACAACAAATACTGTAGGCAGCACTCGGTGGTAAGCAAATACAGGAGTTTGTCAGAAGAGGAAAAAAAAAATACTGACAGAAGAGATCATCTTCTCAGAAGGCTCATCAACATTTTAGAAACAGATCCAACTGGGGGAAGTGAATGTTTCCTGCTGACCCAGTCACAGTGTCTGTGTAAGATCCAGAGGGATCACAGCTTGATCCAAGCTCACCATCCTCTCTCCCAGTAAGAAAAACACTCAGAAGATGAGTAACAGATAAAGACACTGTAGAGTAGAAGGATCCAAAATACAATTTAAGAAGTTGGCTTCCTACCTGGCTTTTTCTGATTTTCTCTTTTCTCCCCCCATCAGCACTCCAGGCACAATCCAGGTAAATGGCTACAGGAAGGAAAACAAGACCAGTACTGATTTCTCTTAATAAAGAGACAAAGTCTAATGAAAACATGGGGACTGGGGGCTGATAGCAGCATGTATCTGATGTGATGTGATCTAACAGCCAGTCTCCATGCACTCTCTCACCTACAGCTCCCCATCAATGGCACCCTTAGTTCTAGCCAGTAACTCACTTCCCACATCATCCAAGAAGATGGAAATTAAATCGCTTTTGCACCGCTTCCAATCGCATTATAATATTTCTTTTCCTTCTCCCCATGTAGCCTCAGTGTTCAAAGACAAGCCACAATGCTATTTCTTCATCTTGCCTTTAAGCAACATCTTGCTGTGGCCAAGGGAAATTTCAGAAAAGCACAGGACTTACAAAGTTTATGGATACCCACCCAGACCCACGTGCACACAGTGCCCGTGTCAGTGAACATGAAATGTCAGTCTCACTGATACTGCAGGAGTTTTTGCCACTTACTTTAATGAGGTCCAATCCTTCACTGAATCTACCATTGCCCAACATTTACAGGGGAGATAATCAAAGCACAGCACTGCCACTGCCTCACTCGGGAGCAAACCCAGGACAGCAGCAGAGCAGGGGCCGCACACGGGTGTGACTGAGAAACAGGCTTAAGTTTGCACAGGTCACTGCTTGCCAGAAACACTCCTACAAAAAGAGTTTCTTTTAAAGGTTTAAAGTAAGGAAGATATCCAAGCAAGTTGGCATTAGCAGTTGGCATTACAGGAATTGTGTCAGGAGCAGCTCAACTCGCTTTTTTCTCCCTCGGTACTGACATAATCACATCACACCCTCCAGTTATCCAGCCCCTCCAAGGGCCAGTCAGATCATGATCTAAAACTCCTTTGGGTCACTATGACAGTTTACACACTGGATTTGATGGTTACTACACATGATATGTAAGAAAAGCTAAAGGGGGTCAGCCCAGACTGACCAGACTTCACCTCTGAAGGACACCAAAAGTTCATTATAATAACTCCTAATTACTATGGAAGAAGACTGAAGTACTTTAAATCCAAGCATGACACAACAAAATCTTACTTGGTAATTCCAGCACTAAAAAAAGGCTTGGGAAGTCTCATCATTTCAAGGAAAAAAAAAAGAAGAGGGAGCAGGAATAGGGGTGAGATAAATGACTTAGATACCTTGTGGCCCCATGGTAAGATACTCTGCCTCAATTAAAAGGAAAGCACTATCACTTAATGATTTTAAAAGCCTTCTCATTTCTCCAGTCATTCAGTTGGCAAAGCAGTTCACCAAGTTCTGCTCCCCATCTGAAACCCATCTGGCCAGTATTAGTTTCATTGTCACTGAGAGAGTCTCCATTCATAACTCAGACTGAAACAATGAAAGGGATTTCTAAAAACAAATCACTCTGAAAATCAACTACTCCTGTTTATCAACACATGTGCAACTAAGGTGCCATAATTAATCACTTAATTGCTCATGTAATAGTTTAAAACATGCCACAGGGGAATCATGCACTTAAACACATTTATCTTTAAGGACTATACATCTTGCCAGGTGCTGGATTTCCTTAAAACATCCAGCTGAATTCTCAGGAAGTGAAATTTGCTTAGCCTCTTGCAGCATGAGGCTCAAGGAATAGGAAGAACACAGAGCATTGAATTCTTACCTTGAGCAGTTTCTGCATTGTATCAAAACTTTGGAGTGCAAGCTATGGAAACCAAGAAAAGAAAATGAGCTCTGATAAAGTCTCTCTGGACCACAAAACTGGACTACAAGTCCCTATGGCTCAAAAATCTGTAAGATAATCTAGTTATGTCTATCATCAGAATTTTGAATACATCCTTAATTTTTCTTTTAGAAGCTGCTTATTAATTCTTTCTCTTGAATAATCCCTCTCTTATTATATTTGGGCCTGCTCAAAACCCTCTCCATGGTTCAGCCCCACAAGCCAGCTCTCAGGACAGGAAAGAACTCTGCTGGATTCTGTGGATGCCCCTGGGAGAAAACAAGCTGAAGGCACAGGAGAATTTGCTCCACTGGAGGAGTAAAAGGGAAAATGGCACAAATTCTGGAAGAAAATCACTATGAAAGTGAAATGTAGCTCAGAGTCAGGGCAGCCCACACTGTCCCCTCCCCTGACCCACGGTCTGATCACACCACTGGAACTTCCTACCCCTGCATTTCCTTTCTCAAGGAAAGCCACTGCTTCCAATACAAAGTAATACCAATTGTAATTACAAATTACCTTCCTAAGTGCTCTCAATGGCAGCCCTTTAAACAAGCTTACACACAGTTTCCTCCAAGCTTAGTATTCACACAGCATCCTTGAGAGGCAGTAAGTTGCTGCTGTAAAAATTTAAATAGCTTTAGAGCCTTCCCCTTTCATGGAACTGAGCAGAGATATTGCACTGCAGGTTGCAAAAAATATTGTGCCCCAAATGAGACACCTGCAGTACGTTCTCCACATGGAAGTTATTATCATTTGTCATACAAAAAATTAAAAAGGTTGATACCCTCCTCTGACATTGCCTTTGCAATTGCAAATAATATAAATGAAATAGAGGAGAGTTCAGTGGAGAAACCAACTCTTGGAGGCCTCAATTTCAGCATTCACTTGTGGATTTGAAAGAACAGCTTTAAAAATGAACTGTTTGTATAAACCTGCACATTTGCAAAGCTGATTTCACTGGTTTTACTCACTCCCCCTGTGTGAGTTAGGCACAAGGCATGTACTGAGCTAGAGAGGTTCTGCAGGCTTCACAATTCACAAGGAAAACTTAGAAATTCCTTCTCCCTTACTCTGGTGTGGCACTGAACAACAATGACAACGCTCCTCCTGTGAGGGCAAGATCCCAACAAAAGGACAGAGAACATTTCCCAACGTGGGGAGCATTAGAGTTCCCCTTCCCTGGTGGACCCACATTAAAAATCAGTGTTCAAACACTCAGATTCAGAAGGAAAAAGGCCACCTACCTCTCTTGTTGGGACGAGTACAAGTGCATAAGGGCCATCACTGCGCTGCAAACACACAAGGTCAGGTCCTCTAAGAATGTAGCACTGAGAAACAGAGCCCTTCCACACCTCACAGCTCTTAGACAACACAGAGAGTTCTGAAGGGCTTTAGTACAAGTTTGTACACAACATTTTAGGGTATTCCCACCTCACAGATTTTTTAAAAAATCAAGTCTTTCACCTATCAATCCTGTATTGGCTTCTCTTCCCTCCTGGGAACCTGCTCGCAGTCAAACCCAACATTTTATTCCACACACACGTTGTTTCACTCTTGTATTTCTGAGCTGCATAAACACTCTCCTGTTTGATGCACAGCAACAACCTACAGGTAACATCTGCAGAAAGTAACTACCTAGGATGGCTTGGAAACACTTCCACCTGTAAGTCAGGATGACCTCTTTCCATAAAAAGATGGAAGATCTGCAGCAGCATTTCCTGGTCAACCAGATGATCCAAATTGGGAGCAATTATCAAATCTCGCTCCATGTCAAAGACTAATTAATCTTAAAGACAAGGCAGTGAGCTCTGTTTTCAGTTCTCCCAACCTCCAGACCATTGTCTCTCCTGCACTCTACCTTCTCCAAACCTGATAATTCAGCCCATTTGCAGTTTACCCTGCTCCAAGGAGCAATGGGGAATGGGTGACATTGACCTTGGATCAGCTGTGTCTCAAGAGAACAGGAGGGTCACACACATCACATGCACAAATAAAGAGGAAGACACACTGAGTGATCTCTGCACCAAGAAGAGACAGTAATGACTACAAGAGCTGGATTTTATTTTTATTAATCTTATTCTCAAAAGCAAATATATTTAAATCTGTTGCACCCACCTGTATTTTGGATTCCATTCCTTGCAAAGACTGTACAAGTGGAATCCCATAGGCAAGAGTTTTACCTTTTTGAAAGGGAGAAAATCAGAAAACTTTCCATCAAAAGAAAACCACGTGGCAATTACAGCACTTCAGCAAATTAAAGCACCACTTGTCCCACCATTCTTAAACTGCATTCAGAGCCTGGCCCCCACCAGCCTTCCCAGCCTGGCACTGTATGAGCTGTACTGGGAATGTGAGGTTTAAATTCTGGTTTTGGGGTCCAGTTAAAATGCCCTAAGGAAGGAGAGTGACAATTCAATACTGACCTGAGCCAGTCTGAGATCTCACCAGAGCATCTCTGCCTTGCAGGAGCACAGGAATTGTTTCCTTCTGAACACTGTGTGACAAACCAAACAGGTGAGGAAATACAAATGAGACAGAGGATAGAATCCAACAGCTTTCCTAGGCAGCTTCTGTTTCCCCCAAATTCCACACATTCATCTCTGCTGTGTGGCTACATCAGCTGAGGTGATTTCCAAGCAAAGCCATTAGACAGGCATCAGATGTGATCAATTCAAATCAGGTTTTATGATTCAAGGACCAAACTAGAAGGCAGGACTCCCAGGTTCCACCTTCAGCTGTGACCTGCTGTGTAACCAACAAGTTATTTCCCATCCCAAACTTTGGAAGCAACAAACCCCAAAGCAAATGGGACATCAGGCACTGTGGTCTTCACAAACCAATTACATATAATGAAACAATCACAGATGATTGGCTTTAATGGGTAGTGAAGCACAAAGATTTTATATTAATTTGCTTACCTGGTCATGCTACTTATGTTCAGGACAGTGTTTATGGTGGAGATCTAGAGAGACAACAAAGAGCAGTAAAGGTTTAATTCTCAAACTGTTCCTTTTGTCATTTTTTTGTAGCACAAAGAGCAAAAACTAGAAGACTGGTATTTATTTTCTATATAACTGGTACAGGGCAACCAAATATAAAGTTCTCATGTCCTTGCAGTTCTTCTAATTAATCAGAATTACACCACTGCTGGTTTTCTGGGGTTTTTTGGTATAACAGCTGCAAGCAGTGAAGGTGCTGGGACTGTGTTTGGGTCAGGTCAGGGCCCAGCACCTTGAGCTGAGAGACTGCAACAGAATCAGGTGAAGTACTGGCAACCCTGTCCAGGTCACCACAAATAAAGGTGCCTCTCTCAGCTCTCTGATCTGTTCCCCACCAAAAAAATCATGTTTTGAGCTGTGCAGCCTCCCTGCCACTCACCAGATGAGGATGGAGGTCCAACTGGCTGAAAGAATCCGTAGTGAAAACATTTTCTTGCACTTGCTGCACTGCTTTTCTGAGCCAGGGGAAACAAAGCAAACAAAGCACACAGTGGGGTTAAAAATTATACATCAGCATTCTATACAAACAGCAAAGAAACTACAGTACCAAGCAAAGGCAAGAATTTGAGACACTGACTATTAAGGCATTGAAAGGGGATTTTTTCCCTCCCATTTGTCTCAAATACCTGTGAATTTCTGGGATATCTGGGTTGTTTTTGAACAGGCTGGATGTCTTAATGAAAGGTCTGCTCTTCTGGCTTTCATTTCGGTTGTCAGTCAGCTGCTTCTTGGGAACTGGCTGTTGTGGTGGATTCCCCTTCCCCCTCCTGTCAGCCTCTGTGGCACCTTTCCTGAAGGTGTTCAGGGATGGTTTCCGCTGGCGTTTCTCAGGTGGGTTTCCATGTGGTGACTGGAGCTTCCTCTTCAGAGCACCGGGTTGCTTCAACATGAACAAACAAAGCAGAGTCATTAATGACCGACAATTAACAAGGTGATATCCTGGTGAGCACAAACACCAGCCCACAGAGCCCTTACTTTTGGAATCTCCCACTCCATGCTTAAAGAAATTCAGTTTGACTTTTGTAGCTGCACAGTTGCTACTCCATGTCTGGGATTTCTGACACTTTCAAAAATCTGAAGTCATATCTAAGTGCTCTTCCCTAAAGGATTTCATCCAGCTTCTCCAGTGACTGAGCAGAACATGCTTTAAAAAACTTCTCTCTCAAGCTCTGCAGATCTCCAGCCCACATTAAAGCCATGCCTGCAGGATTCCCTCTTTCTGTGGGCACAAGGGATGGCCTGGACTCCTCTCCAACTTATGCTTCTGCCAACTCTCAGCCTTTCTGAGCTCTTGATTTCTTCTTCTGCAGCTGATCTTCAATCACCTAAGAAAAGCTTTTGCTCTCCCCATATCCCTCCAGGAATAGTGAATTAGCAAATTAAACTTCATTTGGTCCCCAAAGCTCTTCAGTGTCCCCCAGCCCTTTTTCAATAAACTTGTTCTTCCCCATCACAACTGCAAAAATCCTGAAACATGTGAGATACCAGCAGAATCTCATCCCATTTTTCCCCTCTTTCTTCCCCACTCTGACTTGCACTCTTTTGTCTTCCCACAAACCACACTGTTCTCAAGCTCTCTTATTTTTTTTTCACTTGTTTCTTCACATGTTGGGCAAACAACCAAAACCCAACCTCCTTCCACCAACGATCACCATCAGAAAAGTGGGGGTGCCCTGTCTCAAAGCACCTGATACAATAAGGACAAATCGTGTCACTCCCTTTACTCACACACCCTTAAGCACAGTATTTTAAGAAGAATTTTAAAATTCAGAATAACAACTGAAACAGCCCAGAACCACTCTAACAACAACTTTAAAACCGAAAACGTGTATTTAATCCGTTCTTATGCTCCTTTCCTCAAAACAAAGCACCTATTCTTGCAGCTCACAGCACAACCGCAATTAGAAAATTTCTTGAAAGTGTAAGACTTCCCCTCTCTGGCAGCATTTTAAAGCATCCGGGGACGAGGCAGAGAGAGCTGGGGGAGCATCACCCACGGGCCGGTAATAGGTGAGGGCAGGGCTGGGCTGTCCCCCCGCAGCCCACCCGCGGGGCTCGGGCGAGCTCGGACCTGCCCGACCCCGAAACCGCGACCCGGGGAGCCCCTGCGAGCCTCTGCTGCGGGATCAGGCTCGGGGGGTGCGGGGGGACCCAAAAGCCCCATTTAACAACTTGTCGGACGCTGAGCCCCCGATCCCCGGGCCGGTCGGGGTCCCGTGTCCTGTGTTTCATGTCCCGCAGGCTCCCCTGTCCCGCACAGTCCCGTGTCACGCAGTGTCCCACGTCCTGTATCCCGGAGTGTGCCGTATCCCCTGTCCCGCACAGTCCCATGTCCCGCAATGTCCCACGTCCCGCACAGTTCCCACGCCCTGCGTTCCGTAGTGTCCAGCAGTGTCCCGTGTCCCGCACTGTCCCGCAGTTCCCGCTCCCCTCACGCCCGTCCCACTCCCCCGCTCGTACCGCGCCGATCCCGCGCGGCCCCGCTCCCGCCGCCATGTCCCTCCCTCTCCTCCGCAGGCCCCCGGGGCCGCCCCTCGCCCGGCCCGGTCCGTGAAGGAAGGGCGGCAGCGAGCCCCACTCCCCCTTCCGGGTACCGGAGCCCTCCCGTCACCCCCTCCCTACCCCTCAGCGCCGCGGGGAGCTCGGGGGTCTCCCCGCTCCCCCTCCACTCGCGCCCGGACCCCGCGGGGCGCGCAGGCAGAGGAGGGGGCAGCCCCAGGCCGGGCCCGCCCGGGGGGCCTTCAGCGGCGGCGCGTGCGCGTGGCCCGAGAGGCGGTGGCAACATGGCGGCGGCGGCGGGGCGGGAGGAGCCGCCGCTGAGGCTCGAGGTGGTGGCGGCGGAGGAGGCGGCGGCGAGCGCCGGGTTTCGCCTCACGGCCGTGCGGCGGGAGCCCGCGGTGCGGCTGCAGCACGGCGCCAGCGGCCTGGAGCCGCTGGCGTGGTCCGAGGACCACCGGGTGTCGGTGAGCACGGCCCGCAGCATCGCCGTGCTGGAGCAGCTCAGCGACGTGCACAGCGGCGGGCAGGACATGGTCATCCACCGCACCGCCGTGCCCGCGCCCGCCACCGCCTGCCTGCTCAAGGTGAGCGCCCGGCACGGCCTCAGTGGCACCTCGTTAGTGTGGGTGAATATATAAAGGGGGGGGGTGTGGTGCCACGGGGATGGAGACGGGGGTTGGACATCAGGAGGGATTTCTGCACAGAAAGGGTCATTAGACACTGGAAGGGGCTCCCCAGGGAGGTGAAGGAGGCTCCGTCCCTGGAAGTGTTTAAGGAAAGAGTGGATTGTAGCACTTAGTGCCATGGTGGTGTTGGGTCACAGGTTGGACTCGATGATCTCTGAGGTGTTTTCCAACCTAATTGATCCTGTGATTTTGCTTTGTGTTGCCAACCACATGGACACGAGGCAGTGGGCAGAAACTGGTGCCCCAGAAGCTCCACTTGAACACGAGGAAGAACTTCACTGTGCAGTGATAGGAACAGGTCGCCCGGAGAGGGTGTGGAATCTCCTCACTGGAGATATTCCAGAGCCACCTGGACACAATCCTATGTCACGTGCTCTGGGATGGCCCTGCTGGAGCAGGGAATGGAACAGAAGACCCACTGTGGTCCCTTCCAGCCTCACCCATTCTGGGATCCTGATCCCCCTCCTGGGGAGCCACCACAGAGCTGCCCCTTCTCCACACAACTTCCTGCAGGATCTCATGTGTCGATGTGTTTTAAAAGCACAGGGGAGAAAAAAAACCTATCCCAGTGATGTCCAGGGGAAATGTGATCCAGTATTGAGGGGGTTTCAGGGATTCTAAAGTTCTGTGTTTTTCTAAGAATCACTTGAGCTCCAGTGCAGTTACTTCAGTACAATTTTAAGTAGGAATCTTCCTTAGTTTGCTGCCTAAGCTGAAGGATTTTTGCAGCAGGGGTTGCTTTGTTCTTCAGAGGAGTACCTGATTTTTTACAAAGTTAGCAAGTCTGGGTGAATATTTTATTAAATAATAATTCTGTTATTATGGATCTGGTTTCATGTTCCGAAACAATGCTAAGAACATGGAAGAGTTGAAATACTGAGTGCTTTACACTTTAAATATTATACAGCAGTATGAAAACAGGCTCTTTGATTCAGCAGAGAAAAAAATTCAAAAGCTGAAAGTCTAAACAATACAAATTCCTACAAGTTCATCAGGGCATTAACGAGGCTGAGATCTTTAGGAGTGACCTTAATTAACCATTGCATCAACATAGGGTAGGTTGTCATAGGGGATGCTCTGTTTCAAGTGGGAATTAATTCCAAGAGAGCATTGCTAAAAAATTAGTTGTACAATCGTTTTAATAGTTCTTTTTGTTGTCTTGTAGGTCGGCCCCAAAAAGGAGGTGGCTGAGTGCAAGGAGAAGTTTGCCAGCTCCGTGGATCCGACCGTGAGCCAGACGTTCATGCTGGACCGAGTGTTCAACCCCGAGGGGAAGTCCCTGACACCCATGAGGGGGTTCAAATATTCCAGCTGGTCCCCTCTGGGCTGTGACGCCAACGGGAGGTGCCTCCTGGCCGCCCTGACCATGGACAACCGGCTGACCATCCACGCCAACCTCAACCGGCTGCAGTGGGTGCAGCTGGTGGACCTGACCGAGCTCTACGGGGAGCGCCTGTTCGAGGCCGGCTACAGACTCTGCAAGGCCGACACTCCCTGCGGGGAGCTGGGCGACTTCCCGGAGTTCCAGCGGCGGCACAGCATGCAGGCCCCCGTGCGCATGGAGTGGTCGGGAACCTGCACCACCCAGCAGGTCAAGCACAACAACGAGTGCCGGGACGTGGGGAGCGTGCTCCTGGCCGTGCTCTTCGAGAACGGCAACATCGCCGTGTGGCAGTTCCAGCTCCCCTTCCTGGGGAAGGAGTCCATTACTTCCTGCAACACCATAGAGTCCGGGATAAGCTCCCCCAGCGTGTTGTCCTGGTGGGAATACGAGCACAACAACCGGAAGATGAGCGGGCTGATCGTGGGCAGCGCGTACGGCCCCGTTAAGATCCTCCCCGTCAACCTCAAGGCGGTCAAGGGCTACTTCACACTCAGACAGCCCGTGGTGCTGTGGCAGGAGATGGACCAGCTGCCCGTGCACAGCATCAAATGTATCCCCCTCTACCACCCCTACCAGAAGTGCAGCTGCAGCTTGGTGGTGGCTGCAAGGGGCCCTTACGTGTTCTGGTGCCTCCTGTTGATCTCCAAGGCGGGCCTGAAGGTCCACAATTCCCACGTGACGGGGCTCCACTCCCTGCCCATCGTGTCCATGACGGCGGACAAGCAGAACGGCACGGTGTACACCTGCTCCAGCGACGGGAAGGTCAGGCAGCTCATCCCCATATTCACAGACGTGGCTCTGAAGTTTGAGCACCAGCTGATCAAGCTCTCGGAGGTGTTTGGCTCCGTCAGGACTCATGGAATTGCTGTCAGCCCGTGCGGGGCATACCTGGCCGTCATCACAACCGAGGGCATGGCCAACGGGCTGCACCCCGTCAACAAGAACTACCAGGTTCAGTTTGTCACCCTCAAAACCTTCGAGGAGGCGGCTGCACAGCTCTTGGAATCTTCTGTCCAGAACCTTTTCCGGCAGGTGGACCTGACGGATCTTGTGCGCTGGAAAATTCTGAAGGATAAGCACATTCCTCAGTTCTTACAGGAGGCACTGGATAATAAGATTGAGAGCTGTGGTTCCACTTACTTTTGGAGGTTTAAGCTGTTTCTCCTGAGGATTTTGTATCAGTCCATGCAGAAAGCTCCCTCAGAGGCCACGTGGAGACCTTCACACGAGGATGCCAAAATCTTGATCTCGGATTCCCCTGGGATGGGCAGCACTGAGGATGATCAAGAGGAAGGAACTTCGAAACAAGCCAGCAAGCAAAGCCTGTGTGACACAGGCAAAGGTGTGGACTTAGATGACACTGCAGAGGATTCTCTCCATCAGTCAAGTGACACTGGAGGGCGGGAGCCAATGGAGGAAAAACTTCTTGAAATACAGGCCCAGATTGAGGCCGTGGAAATGCACTTGACACGGGAACACATGAAACGGGTGTTGGGAGAAGTTTATCTACACACATGGATTACAGAAAACACCAGCATTCCCACCCGAGGAGTCTGTGACTTCTTAATGTCTGATGATGGCTACGATGACAGAACAGCTCGAGTAAGTGACCTCTGTGCTCAGGGGATTCCATGTTAGGAGTTATTTCCTTCTCCCCCCTCCTGAACATACAGCTGGGGTGGGAAAGAGAAGTGCAGTTGTGTCATCCTTACCAGTCAGCTCCTCCTCATTCAGGTTAAATTGTCCTTCCTTCAAGCTGTGGGGTAGGAAGGAATGTAAATACAGATGGTGCATTTTGGATCAGGTACAATAAAGAATAATCATGCCTGAGGTTTTGCAGCACAAGGGAGAGGACCAGGGTTGTTCTGCTGCTCTCAGTGGCTTAAAACATGTACCAATTGAGAGAGATGTTTGTTTTCATGACTGAGTTCATTTAATCTATCATCTCTGCAAAACTAAACTTGGGATGCATTTCCTCTAGTCAGTTATGCTGCAGTTCCAGTTTTAAGAGCTGCAGAAGTATCATTTCTGAAAGTATCTATAATTGAGCTCTGTGGTTGTTCAGGTGGTACATCAGGTCTTGGCACTGCTCCCTGAGTCTTCAGCTCCAGAGCTTGAGACAGGTGGGAACACTCTGCATCAGCCTCCTGGCTCTTAAGACTCAATGACAAGAAAGGTTCAGGTGTCTCTGTACCTCTCTGTGTGAGCAGAGAACAGTTCTTTTCAGTCCCTAAGTTCTTAAATCACTTGAACTCTAAAAATCAGCCTTTACTTTGCATCCAGAAGGACAGGGGAAGGAAGCACATGTCCATTACTGATGTGTGTGGTGTTCTCCCTGCTGGAATCACAGGCAAGTGTGGCCATCAGTAATTTGCTGGGAAAGTATTCTGGCACAACTGGTGGGTTGTTACAGCGTCCAGTTACTATGAATTGAAGGTTTGAGAGGTTGATTTTCTTATCTTAGAAACAAGATTCTTGTTTTATAGTCATTAAAAGCTGACTTCTAGACTGTATTTTATCTGTTCAGTTTGCTGTCACACTTTAAAGATCCTTAGGATATGGTTTGTATCTGTTGAAACATCAGAGACAAATTTGATCAAATAAATGTTCCACTATACTCCAAGCTGGCTGCTAAGGACACGCATCCATTTCTGAACAGGAATTATTTCCTAGCACATCCACTGTGATAGTCGTGAGGGAAAGCATTGCTGTAATGGTCAGTGGTGTAATACCAGTTTCTTCAGTACTTTTAAAATAGCTTAACATTATTGCTTTTCAGGTCTGTGTCCCTTTACTGTGGGACAGAAATCTTTGGGAGATGACAACACGAGGAGAATAAACGAACACTTAGTGGTGTGTTACGTTTCTTACACCTTCATTTCTTTGAATTCAGTGCAATTCCTGTATCATGCTCTGAAACCACAGTACCCTGGGAGGCATTTCCACCCCTCAGCTGTGTTCCTGTAATCCCTGCTGACTCCTGTGTGTTCCAGGTGCTGATTGGGCACATCCTGAAGAAAATGAACAAACAGACGTTCCCGGAGCACTGCAGTTTGTGCAAAGAGATCCTGCCCTTCACCGACCGCAAGCAGGCCGTGTGCTCCAACGGGCACATCTGGCTCAGGTAACGGGCTCTGCAGAAGGTTTTACCCTCCTCTGGATCATTTAAACATGCTTTAAGAGTTCACCTAAACTGCTTGTTAGTGTTGGAGTAAAAACTCACAAAACATGTTATCCATGCTGCAGTGTTTGCTGGCTGTTATTTGTCCTCTTCCATGAGAGAGAGAGGAGAGTGGATTTGGTTCCTTAGCAATACAGCATTTTTATAATAAAATGCTTTTTGATCATCTTTTTTTTTTTTTTTTCCACGTGGGGGGAAGGTGAGGACAGGGAAAAAGCAAGCAAGGGAAAATCAAGGACAAGTCATCCTTTGTGGAACATCAGGTGAAGGAGGGTGTGTTCTGGCTCCTTCAGTGTTTGAAAACAAAAGCAATTTAACAAAAAACGGTTGAAAACAGGCACATTGAGAAGTCAGGCAAGTTTTGGAACATCTAGAAAATTAAATCTTCCTGTGTGGGATTCACTGAGATTGTCCCTGAAGCCTTGGCAAGACAGTAGTCTGTCACAAAGATAAAACTTTGCCTAACAAGTACTATGTGCTACTTTGGGTAAATATTCATGGCCTTAAGGAGCCTCAAGCTTTTCACGTCCTCTCCTGCATGCTAAAAAATTTTTGGCCAATGATGAAGCCTTTTTCAGTGGTATATTGATAAAATGCCTTGTCCTTCCACAGGTGCTTTCTGACCTACCAGTCCTGTCAGAGTCTGGTGTACAGGAGGTGTTTGCTTCACGACAGCATTGCACGGCACCCAACCCCAGAAGGTAAATTGTCCTTGGCAAAAGGGGCAGGATTAGGGCTTTTTAACTTTCATCTGCAAAATGTCTTGAATTAGTTGCATTGGCTTTTCTCTTTCAGGCAGTTACCATGTGAAGCTCTAGTGCTCTGCATTTCACAGTGTCCTGTTGTCTGACGTGTTAATTACTAATCAGTGACTGCAGAAATTGATGTATAAATCCACATTTTAATGAGAGCTGGGTAAACACAATCTGTGCTGGAATGCTACAGCAGTTAGTTTATATTCAGGTTGAATATATTAGCATCCAGTTATGGAAGAGGGACAAAGAAACAGGAACCAAGGACTGTGTTATGTGAAGGATCTAATTTCAGTTTAGAAAACGAGAACAGTACATTTGTGCCATGGTGAACCTTTAAATTTATTTCCTATATAGGTATTTAGATGAGTGTGTAAGGATATAGCACAGACTGTTTCACCTTCATTTTGTCTCCTGCTGAGGTGGAATTTAAACTGGCATTGCTTAAAATTTCAGAACAGAAATGGAGTTGGGTTCCTCTGAATTCTCAGCTACTCCTGCATGGTGAATATATACAAACTGTTCAGGATTCCTCTTTGTGCATCTCAGGTGTCATTCCTCTGTTCACCTCTACCTCCAGCTTTGAACAACTTGTTTTCTTATTTGCAGATCCTGAATGGATCAAGAGGTTATTGCAAGGACCTTGCACGTTCTGTGACTCTCCTGTGTTCTAGAGAAAAGCTCTGCAAAGACTGAAAGCATTTTCTCTACTCCATAAGCTCCCTTCAGCCTTGAAGGACACAGAGCACAGGAACACAGACTCTGCCGGAGGGACAACACCTCATCCACAGCCCTGTACATAGAACATCACAGGTTCTGGAAACTCCTCAAGTCCAGAGCCCATTCCATGCTCCAGAAACAGGAGTACACCTGGAAGAGCCAGTTTAAAAGAGGTTTGGAAGAGCACCCCATGGAAGGCTCAGCAGCTGGACACTGACAGCTGAAGTGTTGAGCACAGTGTGAACTGTCCTTTCTGCCCAACTGTGTCATTCCCCAAAAGCTGGGACGGGAACATGGAGCTGCCTCTGGAATGGTCCTGGTGGGTAGAGAAGGCTTCAGCTTGTAGTGCTCCCTTTGCTTTTTAACAAGCACTGGCACGTGCTGCAGAATATTAAACTGTCAAAAGAATTTGTGGCTCCAATTCCTTGCCGAGTGAAGCACGTGCCAGTTAGAGCCACAGGAAAGAAATTGGCCATTCCAGCAGTTCCCCTTAAAGTCTAGAAGAGTAACTGCCTCGTAACTGTTGTAACACTATTGAAGTCAGGAGGGGGATATTGGCTGCCTGGGTCAAATAGGGATCAGTAAAAATAATTTTTAAATGTAATAATTATTAAACTAATAGCAATTAGATTAAACACTAATAATATATATAATTTCCAATGCTCTTTAATCTCTTACCCCACTTTCTTTTTCTGAACTAACTCCTTCCCAGCTTTTGCCAATGTATTTGCCTTTGGCTTCACTTAACCCTCTACCAACAGGAATCATCTTTTCCAGTGTAACTCAGTTACCAAAAACGTTACTGATTTACCTTATTTTCAATTAAATTGCAAGTCTCCCTCATCCAGGAATTGAATTTTACACAAGTCTGACACACAAGCAATCGCTCCCAGCTGACAGTTTCTCTTTTCACAGCAACACAGTAAAAAACCCCAAACAAAGAGAACACCCCAAACCAAACCCCCACCATGGCTGACATGTTCTAGGTAAGGCCAAGGAGGCTGGTGAAGCTATTCATGGATCACAGAATGGTTTGGGTTGGAAGGGACCTTTAGGATCATCTCATTCCACCTCCCTGCCGTGGGCAGGGACACCTTCCACTA